ACGTGATGACATTAGGCCCAAAAACACATCGGGAAAGAAGAAACTGTGGACAGCATTTGGAGGTCCCTTATTTCAATTTGTAAAATGCCCTTATAGCTGAACTCGTACACATTCCTCCAGCCGGACTGAAGGCCGGGTGACCAAAGTTTATACTCGGAAATAACATTATATTTTGCTTTGTGCGGCACTTAACAAGCTTCTGAGAGGGGAGCCCGCCTGCGATGCTCCATCCATCTCTCCTGCTGCATCCTGCATGAGCTGACGGACTCACACAGCAATCTTCTGTTAAGAGGACGGGCTCAAGGGGCAAACGGAAGTGTTACACTGTGAACAGCCGCTCAGCTACGCAGACAGCTTTATGAATCAAAGTGAAAGCATGTCTGATGCCAGAGACACCGACGTGTCTGATATACTTGTTATTTATTATAACAGACTAACACCATCCATTTTTCATTCGAAATATTTAATATGAAATCTTTAAAAGTCGATATATGACACCAGCATCCTGAAAGCCAGTGTGAATATAGTGTTGTTTGAATTGTCTAAAAGTGTTTAAACTCCCGTTCTAAAGATGCAATCCAGGGAAAAGAAACATCAGAAAGATGATTTTTAATAAAAAGAACCGGCCCAGTCCAAACGTCTGTTCTCTTAATGACAGTGATGGTTGAAGAGTAGAGGTCACCTTTAAGCAATGTCCTCCCTGAGCCATGTTTTCAGTATCTGACTCTTAAGCCGTGTTTGGGGATTGAGTTTACTATTTCAGGCATGATCATACGTCAAATAAAAGGAAGGATTAGCACAGAACCAATGAAACGAAACAAAGGAAGGTTTTCTGTTGCGTAAAAACGTGGTAGAAAAGTACGTATCCTTAAATGAAGCCCGTACCACTAAAATAACACACCTCCGTCGCTGCCGTGATTCACAGTCAATCCAAACAAAGAGTGAATGGTTTGGTTGATGGGGCGGCTCCAGGCGATCCGGAGGATTACCGAGTGGCCCATATGGCTCCTCACACACAGCGAGGGAGAGAGAGAGGAGCAAAGCTGTGTCCTGGCATCAAACGTCCCGCGCTGAATGAGCGGCGCTCATGCACAGTCACAAGCACTCTCCACAGCTCCCTCAGGCACATCGAGCGCAGCCAGGGACGCATTTAACAGCTCGGCTTCGTTTTTGTCTGCTCGTCTGCATAACCACACACACACACACACTCAGACACACACACACACTCAGACACACACACACACACACACACACACACTCAGACACCAGCCACTTGGTCCTCCACGCCAAGCCGGGTTGTGTGTCCTTTTCCGTAAGAGCCACAAAGCTTTCACAGGAACTGGAACTGCACATTCAGATTCAAGATAAAACTCAATATCTGATCAATTGAAAGACTTTCTTCAAATTGAGAGAATTTAATTCACCTCAGCTCGTGGTCTCTTTGAAGGTTTTCTGTAACTTTGCTGTAACAAGAACACAGGGTGTTTGTGATAAGCAAGCTTTACACGTGTGCTGCCTGATCAGACCTCTGCTGGGGTCCGTGTAGGTGTGTGAACACATGATCGACCGTTGTCGTGGTTGTTGCTCCGTGGCATTTACAAGTTCAAACAGGAGGTAGAACCGTATCAAGTTCCCTTGCTGAGGATCTGTGTCGAGGACATGGAAATAAAGGGGCAGCGTTGTTGTCGTGTCGTGTGCGAGGGAGCCCGTCTGTTATATCCAGTCCACCCTGAACCCTTTTACAAAAGGAATCTGCAACAGTAAAACAACATTCATGTAAGAATTGATTGGGTGATTGCGAGGATGCCGAGGCGGCCGGGATGTTTGCGGCTAGCAGAATACAAACAGAACTTCCATCACAGCCCATCCGTCTCTGCAGCGCGCATCAAATGTCAAACTCTCCCGACATGAAATGAAGGACGGATTTGTGTGTGTGTGTGTGTGTGTGTGTGTGTGTGTCGTTGCCTCTTTTAAGTTCCCCTCTGATAGAATTCCAATTAACTTCAGTAACGCGTGAGGACAGAGAGATGAGGTATGACCTCCCCATTACAAAGTGACAGACAGGCATTGAAGTTCCCGCCTGTGGACTCGTACACTTGTTGAGTCAGCAGTGGGCCTGCTGCACGCCCACTTTGCCCAGTGTGACTGAGTTGGACTGCAAGTGACAAGCGTGCACAGACACGGCATGCACTCCACGTCGGTCCTCCAGCCTGGATAACGTTGGGACAGATGCTGCAGAGGTGCGGCTTTAATAAATGAATGGAGTGTATGAGATCCGGCACGTGGATAAAATTGATAGCATTCGGTCTCAGCGAATAACCGCTGTGCTCCGTTTATCTGCCTGCCTGTTCTAAACACAGCACCAGATAAAGAGCGGAGAATGCTTAGCCGAGAATCAGTATTCCAGCTCATGCCCAAGGCATACTGAAGCAGGGTGAATTAATATGAGGACAGAAAATGTGGTCCCATGTCACCCCGGGTATAATGCGGTCTCAAGCATATCAGGGCGCCCCAGCTGTGACCAGGCATTCTTATCATATCTGAGCCGTGGAACACTTTCCACACACCTCCGACTGGAAGAGAAACTCCATCACCATCTCGTTTCCGCTGTTACTTTCTCTTTACTCAGACACTAAGCACAGGAATGAAAATAAATCAGAGTGCTGCTTAAGGTCACGAGAGATTCCTTAGTTCCTTTTTTCTCTGCATGTGGAGGAATTATTCTCCTGGTCATCGGACTGTCCCTGCAGGACACAGGAAGGAGGAAAATGTCCTTCCCTGTCAAAACAGCATCCTTTGTGAAGAGGAATGGTGGACAGCATTATTCCTCAGCGATGGGATCTATCTTATTTAAATTAGAAAATAACATACCGCCTAAAGTTGAATCCTTTCAACTCCTCTCTCCAGCGAGTCAAGGATTAGAGTGAGCATTCATAATGAGGGATCTGGGCTCATCATTTCCTCATTGAACAAAAGGTCACAGATCAATATCTTTGTACATGTTAAAAAAAGAAAGGTTTCCTATCTGCAGATGAGAGGATTATCTGTTGATAATGAACAATCGATAGCCACCTGCGCCAGCTGTAAAGGTAACCGGTAAGCGACCTACTGTTAACTGTTCTAATTAACATACTGACTGCAGGCAGCACAAATGAAACAGATGCCCCTGATAATCACAGTGCATCCGCTGAAATACAAAGCAGCGCATTCATCAACAGGACCTGAGCGAATGGAAAACCTTTTAGGTTGGATTGCCTATAAGACATTTAAAATGAATGCCTGAATCGGGATTTGTACAACATGTTGCTGAGCAAAAATCACGTCTTAGTAGCGCTTCTCACTAAAATGTATCCAAGGACTTTCACATTTAATAGAATGCACTGTACCATATTCAGCATCAACACCTAAATGATCATTTCCATTATTTGCATATATGTGTGAAATTAAATCATTTAAAGACTTGAGAGATCAGCATTTACGTGGATGCATCACAAATACGGTCGCGTTTCTAAATCCTCCTCCCGTTAAAGGTCCTCCTCTGTCAATCAAACACTGTCTTCCTGTGAATGGTAACAGTCAGACTCCATTTGATGTGATCCATTTGGATCCTTTCCTACAGGTATGCATGGTGCCTGTAAGCCATGGCAACACACTAATTATAGCACTGCTTCAAGCAAAAACGTCTTTTGGGTCAAAACTGAGTGGAAACATGCCGTATGTATCTATAAATATCTACTGGAAAATCAAGCAAATACAAATTGTGCCAGTGTGACAGCAGAGCTGCTCAGGGACAAAACTCAGTGTCATTTACAAACTAAACCAGAAAGTCATTTAGAACTGCGGTTGATTCCATAAGGAATTTTAATTACAAGCTACCTTTGTATAAATAGCAGCAATTAACATCCAATTGCAGCAGAAGCATCGTTTCCATCTTAAAAGCCTTGTATCGCAGCGCCCCCTTTCGGTGGAACCTCAGCTTGAAGCCTCCGGTGTGGAAATAGAGCCCGTTCACTGGACTCACTCTTGTGTGTTGATTGAGAGGTGAAGAATCAATCAAAAGAGCCGCACCGGGAATCTACAGCAAAACGTGTGAACTTCCAGCAGCAGGCAATCAAAGAAAATAAGGAGCTGTTCGTGTTCGGAATAGATGAACTAAGAGCGTTTCTCCTTCCTGCATCACTTCACAGGTCCTATTCTTCTTCCCTGGACCCGCCACGCGAACGCCTTCCACGAAGGGTTTTGGAGGAAAACGCATCCTGAATGGTTTTATATTTCTCACCCATTTGATATTCAGGCCCTGACTCTTTTCTAGGCATTAGGATCAAAATATCTCTCACCAAAGAGAGAAGCCAAGAAACATCTTGGCTTGACAGGCCCTGGAGGCAGGCACCACAATTTTTAGATTGCTTGTTTTTAAGTGTTGGGCTTAAAAAGGAAGGAAACGAAAAATTTGAGGTGTCTGCCTCCAGGGCCTGTCTGTCTCCTGAAGACTAGAGACAGTTTATAATCGGCCCAACTTATTTCCCCACAGCATATCGCTTCAAGTGAGCTTATCCGTTGGGAAAGGAGGACAGTTTTGTACCTTCCTGCTGAAATGCATTCAGGGAAGCAGTGAACTGAACAATCAAGAGCGTCCCTGCTGGTATGAATATTCTATGCGCTTATGCAGATATATCACGACACAGCCCAAAAAATAGCACATCAAAGTGTAATTGAATATAATGCATGTGCACCGAATGAAATATGCATGACAAACTGGCGTCAGAGAGCACAGAGCAGGCAGGTCCTCTGAAGCAACAATACGACTCATTGAAATGCCATTTATTGACTGTGGCACCGAGGTGAGCCGGAGAGTGAGAGGGACGGGCGGAGAGACGAGTTTAATGGTTTCCAATCAGAGGTACGGAAAAGCTTGCATGCAAATGCATCGTTCACTGAGATATAGTTACAAGCAATTATGCAATTTCACTTCCGGGGGGGTCAACAAAAATCACACGAGATGAGAGTTTAGTCATTTTATTTACAAATGTTACTGTTTGCCTCAATGCCATTTAGTGCGATATATTGTTCACACGGAACCCTGTGTGTACAATTCCTCCATCCATCAGTGAAAACACCAGACAAGTGCTATCCAAGCAGACACCTTTAGATATGCTGAAAGGCTCCTAATAATCTTAATTGCTAATCCCACCAATGAAAAGGCACATAGACGCGATGAGAATACATTGTTATTACCACAAGACTCGACGGAAAAGTAGAAGCAGGAGCAAAATATCTCTTCAGATCTTTAAAATTGGTCACCTCGGACGTCATTACAAAGATCTGCTTCGATAATCGTATCAACAATTTCACCATTTGACTAATTTTTGTGGCTAAAAGAGTTAAAAACCTGCGGATGCATGCAGAACCCTTACATTTTGTACAACGTTAATACTTATTCAGATATAAACATGTTAAAGCAGATAACGTCTTTGCAAGCTAACCCTCTCAATCGCACACGGAAAATAAAAAATAAAACGCATTATCATTTTCATCAGCTAGATTCCTGCAGCCATAAATGGAAAGTGTGTGTGAACGCGGTGAGCCCGGCGACCCGCCGTGGCTTCGGTGCACGCGGAGCGCTCAGGGGTTGTTGTCACAGGTGGTCTCCTCGTCTATCTGCTGGAGTACAGTCACGTCACATAGTGGTTGGCTGGCCAGCTGGGGGGGGGGGAGAAACAAAGCGCAATGTTAGCGAGCAGAACCCACCCCCACCCCCACGGCGCCATGCCCGTCACGCCGGCCGCTCGCTCACCTTTGAATCGCATGTAGCAGGTGTTACAGTAGAGCTGCTTGTTTCGTATTCTGACCTCGGCGCCGGCTGCCGACCCTCCGAGGTCACACTTGCAGTCGATGCACTGGGGGGAGTTTATGAAAGGGAAGAGTTAGAGAGCTACTCAACGCTGGAGAGGACGGCGTCCGCGTCCCGCAGCTCAGGACCCTCGATTGTATGAAACGGAGAGACTGATGGAGGAAAAAGGACCAACGACAGCCAAAGATTGCTAGGACTGATCGCTGCTCAGATGCAGGAGGCCAAGCTCGAGTGAAGACCCGAGTTCCAGGGAAGGATCGACAATTAAGCATCGCTAAAAAAGAGAGAACGATAACGGACAAAGCGAGTGAGGGGTTGATTAGTCAGAAAAACACTACTTGGCTCAAGCTGTGAAAGAGATCAGGACCTGGACGTCCACCGGGTCAGACGTGAAAGATAAGAGGAGTTTGGAGGAGTCAGGCACGAGGGGTGTAGGCGGCGTGCCCCCCGGCGGGGGAGTAAGGGGCCGACGCGGCGCCCAGCGCTCACCTTAAAGCAGCCCAAATGATAACAGAGCCCGAGGGACTCGATGATCATGGCCGCTCCCTTTCCCAGCGGGGTGTCACAGAACGTACAGATTTTCCTGCCACTCACTGACCTGGATCACAGAACGCACAGCTGGGGTTGTAAGAGCCGAGCACGCACACAGACACACACGCCACAGGCTCACACTGGTATGCAGCTGTTAAACTGTTCAATGAATGTAATTGTTTAGTCATCTAAGTAAACAATGATTACATTTGGCACAACTTGGCATAATATTTGGGGGTATTGCTTCAACACGTGGACAAAGATGCACAGAAACACATCAGCATTGCACATGTGGAATCAAACAGCGCATCTGTGAAATAGATAAAAGATAAAAGATACAGGTAATAAAATGGGCCGAACAGAAGAGTCTAGTTTAACTTGTCAGCTGTGGAAAAAGAGGGTGACCATCAATGAGCCCAGAAGAGTGAAATCAGACGTCCGGTTGCCCGCCGCCCCCACCTTGGTCCTTCAACCCCACCCGGACACCCAACCAGTACACCAGTCAGAGGTTAGTCGCTGGGAGTGTTAAGCGGAAGCAGCGCTGTGATCCCAGTACCTGTTGTGTTGCTGGTGGGGGCCTGCCTCCGGCTCTGGGGAGGGGGACGCTGACTGCCGGGACCATGGGGCAGTGGGGGTTCCCGCCCCGGCGCGCAGGGAGCCCATGGAGGAGGCGGACGTCAGGGTGGAGGAGCCGGGCCGCTGGGCCCCCGACGCCCCCCAGCCGTAAAGGGAAGTGCTGCCGGAGAGCGCCGAGTTAGGCCGAGCGTGGCTTTGGCCGTGAGAGTTGCTTCTGGGCGTCCAGGACGAGCGCCACGAGTTGTAGGAGGCGTCCAAGTTGTCGAGGGACTCACCTCTGCAAAAGCCACAGCGGCGCCGCGCCCACGTTAGCCCATTTAAAAAGTCTGGCTCCTAACTGAGTCTGTGTGTTTTAGAATATTTGCTCCGATCCAATTTGCCTCAATAAAGTCAGAGCAGCCAGACTTCTAAATGTTAACTTATAGGATATTAGTACGGGTTAAAAGCCAGCCACCATCATCACATAACGCAGAGGAGATGCTCTCAGAGAGGTTACCTGCGCATGGGCGGCACGTTGGACTCGTTGGTGGTGGGGGCGCACTGGCGGATCCAGCTTTTGTCCCTTAGCAGCGGGGTCTTCTTCTTCATCTCGTTCAGGATCTGCTGGCGCTCCAGCTCTGCCTGCGAGGCCGACAGCTGACCCTTCCTCTCTCCCAGCCCGCTGCCCGCCACTGCACGCAGAGAGGAGGACATTACAGAGGAGGACATTACAGAGGAGGACATTAGAGGGGAGGACATTGGGTTGCTTTAGGTGGCTTTCGGGAGGTCAAACATGGATCACGAGGAAGGGACGAATGAGGCTGTGATGAATCTGGTTGGATTAGACCATTGCCATTTAAGAGAGATCGTTCTGCAATTCAGTAGTTCATTGTTCTTCTGCCGCGTGCAGCTTCTTCCCCGTGGTGGACTGATTGATGCACCGTTTGATTGGTCAGCTGTTAATCAAAGAGCTGTAGGTTTTGGGTTCATGCTGATCATGGGTGGAGGGGCCGAGCCCACCTCTCTCCGGCTCTCTGTATCTCATGGCGTTGAGGATGTTCCTCCTCTCCACCTCCAGCTCGGACGCCGCCCGCTGACTCCGGGCCTCTTTGTGGCCGGCGCTCCTCGCCTGCTCCTCCAGCAGCTGGTGAACCATGCCCCCCGGCCTCACAGACGCGCCTACAGCAGGCCACGCCAGCGTGCAACGGCACAGTGAATGCGTAGCGTTGTTTGTGAAACACCCAGTATGAAGAGAAGCAGCGCAGATGTTGAACGCTCCTGGTCTCACGTGGCGGTTGCATTCACAATCCATCACTTGTTGTCATTCAGATTAAACTAGAATGATGGAGAATACCTTCATTTAAAAGAAAACTGACCTTTTTTCTGAGGGTTTTCCTCTGCATCAAGCTGGGGGGAGGATTTAGATTTTGTCCTGTCAAATAAAAGAAAATGTCAGGTGCAGCGGGCAAAAGAGGAGGAGGCTCCCGGCTGAGCTGAAGACATAAGCCACTGGCCGCAGGCCTCCCACTTTCATAAAGACAATGATCTAGTCTGAATAGGAAACCATGCACCGAGCCACACATGCATTATAATGTGTCAGCTTTGGTCCTTACTGAGAAACAGAAGAGAAAAAGAATTATACGTGATGTCAGATGATGTACCTGCTGAATATGTTCTCAGGTAAATGACACATTGTTCTTGTTAGTCATGAACTGGTGTCGGTGTTTGGCAGGTTTAATATGCTTGTGAGACACCGTTTGGCAGCTTTGGAGCAAAGAACAGAGTGAGTTGCCTCACTGGCATATATAAAGCACTCAGATAAAGGTGACGTTAAAGATACACCTGTTCAAACTCCTCCCGTGAAAACACATATATAATTAACACTGCTCTATACTACACCGTGAATTATTATTTGTTCATGCAGCGACCTTCATTCCTGGTGAAGGACTATTTATTCTTTGTTAGTCTTCTTGAAACCTTCTTGGGGAATTGAAATAAAGTGTTATCTATTAAACCTGTTCAATTCAGCATCCGAACATGCTGTCCTGTAATATCGGTTATAGTCACTGACGGTCTGTGAGGGACACTGTCTGTCTGTGAGGGACACCGTCTGTCTGTGAGGGACACCGACTGTCTGTGAGGGACACCGACGGTCTGTGAGAGACACTGACGGTCTGTGAGAGACACCGACTGTCTGTGAGGGACACCGACTGTCTGTGAGAGACACCGACTGTCTGTGAGGGACACCGACTGTCTGTGAGGGACACCGACTGTCTGTGAGAGACACCGACTGTCTGTGAGGGACACCGACTGTCTGTGAGGGACACCGACTGTCTGTGAGGGACACCGACTGTCTGTGAGAGACACCGACTGTCTGTGAGGGACACCGACTGTCTGTGAGGGACACTGACGGTCTGTGAGGGACACCGACTGTGGGAGAGGTGGGGCGAGGAGTACAGCACGAAGCATGTGCAGGCGTGTTAGTTGAACCGTGTTAGACCATGAAGCGTGTTGTGTTACAGTGTTGGAGAAATGATGAAGATGTGTGCGAGGAAGAGGAGGAGGAGCACTGGCTGTACTGACCACTGCTGCTGCTGCTGCTGCTCCACCACGGCTCGCTCACGCTCCCTGCGCTGCTGCTCCAAAGCTTCATGCCGTCTCCTCTCCTCCTCCCTCCTCTTCTGCCACCTCAGCTCCTCCTCCTCCGCCTCCCTCCTCTTCCTCTCCTCCTCCTCCCTGTCCTTCCTCTCCCTCTCCTCCTGCAGCCGCCGCAGCTGGAGCTCCTCCTCATCCCTCTTCCTCCTCTCCTCCGCCTGCCTTTGGCGCTCCTGCTCCTCCTTCCGCTTTCTCTCCTGCTCCTCCTTCCGCTTTCTCTCCTGCTCCTCCTTCCGCTTTCTCTCCTGCTCCTCCCACGTAGGAGTGGTGGGCTGGCCGACAGGAGAGAGGGGGGACGTTGGGCCGATGCCACGCCCGCTCACCTCCAAGCTCTCTGGCTGCGGGAGAGAAGGGAGGTCAGGAGAAGAGGAAGCTCACGGTGGCGTCCGTCTGACCTCTGTCGACCTCCAGGAGGAACTCGGGGGTTTAGAAATCGGGGAATCAATGGGGAGTTTTTGTTGCAAAACTACGAGCCGCAGAGACTTAACATAAGCTCACATGACGCGTGTGTCGTGTGAATATCCACATGACAAGACGCCGTCTTTGCTTTCGCTTTCTCATTTATGAGGAAAGAACAGAAAAAACCTGCTGAACAATCAATGTCGCTGTCATCAACAAACACAGAAGAAAATACCGTAGAAGCATCGACAAGTCGGCACACTTCAAGTATTAAGCTCAAGTGAAATCCTTCGGTCACCTGTTGTTGGTCCAGACTCCTGGCAACCTCCTCCTGATCCTTCAGCCACTCCTCCTGTAACTTCTCCTGGTCGCGTTTATATTTCTCCTGGGATGAAGAAAGGAGGGAGAGAAATTGTATGCATGCACTCGCTCACATGTTTCCTACAGGGAACAACGCGGCTCTGCTTGGACATCTTTGATCTCCATCCACAAATAGACCTTTCAAAGAAGCCTTTCCACAGGATTCCACTGCCTTTACTCAAAGGAGATGTCCCACTGTCAGCTGTCTTGAGCCCATTGGGGGCCGTCTGCTTTGATTGTGAGGACTTCCGCGCTCTGAACCTCGTCCCGTTGTAAGATTACAATGTTTTAGATCAAATGGATTGTGAGGCTGGTATTTGTATTAACGGACTAAACGCTTTGCTAGACACACCCAGCTGAGACTGATTTAGTCTAATACGCCCGTCCTGCAGGAAGTCCTGCGCCCTGAAGCTCATCTCTGTAGAAGCAGATTTACTGATTCAACTTCATTGTCATTCTGGCGGCTGAAGGTTTCAGTGCTGGTGAATTGTAATGTGTTTCACTGAGAGGTGCTGACCCAATGTCAGAATATTGGATGTGTTCAGTTCAAATTTGAATGTGGGCCTCGTTTCAAAATGTGAAAAATAACAATGTCCACAAAAAATGAAAATACACACTGCTAATTGCATTTCTTTTCTTATCTACTTCCTTGAGTGTTTACTTCATTGCGTTGGTCTGAGAACCTCACAGACTCTCAACTAAATCTAAGCTTTATGAGCTTGTACCTGATAAACTGGCAAATGAGTGCATATTTGCACATATCTATCCAGCAAGAAGGTCAAAGTTCAAAGGCCATTGCTATGACGTGGTATGCATTCGTGTAAATGCACAACGTTGCTTTTACTCCACTGTGCCTTTATGTACCTGTAGAAGGCGCTCCTGCTCCTTCTGCCATTTCTCTTGTCTTTTGCGCTCCTCTTCTGGGTCGAAAGTCCAGCGGCCGGAGGTTGACGTGATCGCAGGGACGGGAATCTGCAGACAGAGAACAATCACGTCGGCCGTCAGCTCGGATAACTTACTCCCTGACTTTGTGTTGTTGGGTCATTCAGCTAGTTTTCTTCAATAGACTCAACAAATGAGAGCTGCCTAAGATCACACTTAAGACATCTGGCCACTTGAAAATGTCAGATTCTCAGAACGGTTCCATACATTGAAATAACTGTTGTTTCCTGTTACATGCACTGGTATGACTACTCACATCTGGCATTGCAGACTCGGATCCTCCTTGGAAAGAAAAGAAAAGGCATCCAGTCAGTACTTTGCGGTAGCATGTACACAGGGGAGAAGTAACCTTCAGGCAATAGACTGTAGCAACACAAAGCTGACAGGCTTATTAACTTTTTCAACTGCATTTTGAAGTCAAATTCCAAGCTGTCGTTGAAAGGGACAAACAGTACTTGTTTTTTCATCAAGCGCCTCGAGCAACGACGGTTACATTTTTAGGACTTATTGATTCCCTCAATTCATCATCAGCTTGACATTTCAATTGGATGTCAGGCCCCAAAAGGTTTCTGAATAGGAAAATCAATAAACTTCAAACAAGATCAAACAAAGTGGAAGGAAAGACACACACACACTTGTGAGCAGCATGCGTACTGAGGGATGCAGACACGTACGTGTCCGCCGGGCTGACGTACAGCTCAATGCATGCAGGCCAAAGCAGCCACGGGAAAGTGGAACCATGTGTTAAACCTGCAGCGTTCAAACAAACACCACAAACACGGCATGACGGCAAATGTTTGTGCACGCTGGGTACGCTGACACGCCGACCCGCCCCTGGAGCTGATGGTACTGCTTTTGTACTCTTTTATATATTCCTTTTCTTTGTGGTCTTCCACAATTTTAATAACCTTTGCCTTTTGATCAGACAACAATTTGACACCAAAATAGCACCAGACTCCGTGGGCTTGAAAAGCAGGTCAGAGTCCCAGGTTGTAACCAAGCAAAGGTGAGGAGGTCACTGCACACCCTGTTCACCACAGAGGTAGACCAGCGCACTGACATGGGACCCCGAGACACCTGAAGGAGGGGAGGGGCCACAGAACAAAACCAGAATCAATCAATAATGGGTTACTTATCAATGAGGCATGAGGGCCTGAAACATGCAACAAACCGTGGCAAGCTGAGAGACGAGAGCGCAGAAAACCGGGCCACCCAATCACAGAGAAGTCACGGTTATCGTTATTAATTGTGTCATCATAAGAAACCGCACCGCTTTCGTTTTCTTTACCTTTTTCAAAAAACTCTGACCTCCGTTTTAAGTTTTTCAAAGATAAGGGTTCTGAGTCTACATGAGAGATGGGAAACAGGGCACATTAAGGGCACAGCAGAGGATTCAATACATGAATTACGATTATTGGTTTTGGATAATGTCACAGTGCAAGTCCACTTGTTACAAAGACAAGTAAAGTCAACACTGGTGCATTTGTGTATTCAGCACAGAGGTAGCGGCCAGGATCAATTCCATAACCTTCTGATTGTGTGCTGTGCTCTTCACCTTTGCTCCTCATGGTCACCGCCTGCTCACGCAAACCTCCATTTACGCCGTTTGAAGCTACGTCCTGCAGGGGGGGGGAGAGGGTGAAAGGGGTATGGTGGGGGGGCACCGCTCATTAAACCGGCCACAATACAGAAATGCAACTTGATGAAAACCTGTGGAAGTTGGGTCACTTACGGGGGCTGGCTGGGCGGGGGCCTCTGTGGGAGGCAGCTTCTCCACGGAGGCGCGTGAGGTGAAATCCAGGCTGGCGATGGGGGGGTTGGGCTCGGGGGAACCTAGAAGCATCGGATGATCCATACGGGTCAGATTGATGGTCTTATGGCTTTTAAATGGCATGGGAGGTTGGTCTCTGTCCCAGTCTGCATGCAGCCAGTGCAATGGCAAAAACAAAAGGATGGGATAGCATGTGTGTTGTGCACAAAACACGTCTTCTGTGCCTTTACATTTGTGCCCACTAGCAGTTATTGCCGTTTGTGAAACCCAACATTTGACGCAGAACTGTTTATTTACACGAAGGACGTTATGAAGCAGGTAACACGGGTGCTGTTAAGGTGTTATTACAGAGAGCAGCAGGGTGTGACAGAGAAACCTTCCCCAGCCATGCAGCCTATCAAAGCTTTCACAAACAGGCACTCTTCACCAAATTCTGGCTTTCAGTTTGAGTGAGCTACTAGGGGCGTTTATCGTTATTCTTTGGGACAAGGACACTGACGTAGTTGGAACAAGTAAGCTTGTTCCACCCTCACACTCAGGGGCCCCTGAGATGGGTCAGGGCCACACAAGGAAAACACTGCATGGTTACAGAGAGGACGAAGAGCAGATGAGACGGAAAAGGCAGAAGAAGAAGAAGCAACCAGAAGTGATAAAAAGGGAAAACCGGAGAAAAAAGGCACACTAAGGCCAACGTAATGCAACAACCCTCCCTGGTCAGGTGATGAAACAATCAAACAATGCAGGTTATTCTCTGCTCAGCTGTCAGCATATCATTCATGGATGGTTTCACAATAGTTTACGGATCAATTTAAAGTGTCAAAACGGTTTAGCAACGCAAGCGGCGTAAGCAGCGGTGTCAGTCCAGGAATGCAACCCGTAATGTGGTTAAATTCAATCTCCACACACACGCGCGCACACACACACACACACACACACACGTGCGCCCAGCGCACGAACACATGCACACACACGACTCACTGTTCCTGCCGTAATGGCGTATATCCATAATCAGACTGCCCTCCTGCAGGGCCTCCTCCATGCAGGACTTCCAGTCCATGTAGCTCATTTGTGCCACCTGGTGCCCGTTCACCGTCAGCACCTCGTCCCCGACCTGAAGCTGGCACATTTCTGCCGGGCTTCCTGCACGAGACAAAGGAGCGTTCACGGGACGGAGCACACGTTGTACCGACGAAGGGACATGGTCACTCAGAGGAGCGATCGTTAGGCTGTTTTAGTCATTTCACTAAAATGGAACTCAAAGGAAATCAGCAAGTTTTACTCGATCATTTTAAATTAAAAAATGTTCAATGTTAAAAAGGCAAATGTACGTCAATATTAAGAAACGCTGCTAGAAGATACTCAAAGGCCCGAGCTAGTTCTCAAAATGTACTTTAAATTGTCTTTCACCGCCCAGTGAAGCAAGACAAATAATATGTTTAAATTTCTGTCTAAACCCTGTTAATGTCCTGTTAAGATCATGAGATGGTTAATAACAGTTTTGCTGAATTACTGCACGGCTGCATCTGCAGAACCTCAGATAAGGTCATTGTACCTTATACTCCCTATGCATGCTTTATTTTTTGTTATGTTTGGTGTTTTCAACCTTCTGAACAAGTACATTTTAAAGCATTGCACCAAAGAACTAGAAGATCTATAAATATAAATATCTGGCTGGCTAACATTTACACAAATGGTGATTCATGTGCGTTGCCCCTAAAAATACAGAACAGACGATGAAATTAAACGATGCATAGCGACAAGTACATGCAGGTCATAACTGGTACGGCAAAGCCAGACTATTGATGCAGGCTGTTACACGTATTAGAGGAACGACACTGAATCCAATGACAAAACGAGCGAAGGTGGGAAAAGCTGAGTAGAAAGAGGCTCAGACGCAGCAGATCTGACCCAGATGGATGCTGCCCCACATACTGCAGGTCTGGCAAGGCCGCTGCGATGGCCTTGAAAACCTGCTGACGAGCATCCAGCAGTGCCTGGCTCTATCATACAGTATATCACCACCTGCTCTTTAAACCTCTGAGAATGCCGCCAGGCTCCACGCCGCACATTATACAGGAAGGGGATCAACGCTGACAAAAACCTGCTTGTTTTCCGGTGCATCTCTGCGGTTACCTGGCTGGATGGACGAGACGCGAGCTCCCGTCGAGTCCCAGGCCGCCTGGAAGCCAAAGTCTCTGCTGCTGTTGGGCTTCTGGTTCAGGCTGATCCGCTTCTCGCGGAAGTCCTCCTAGAAAGCCAAACACAGCAGCACAGGTGAGTGGAGGAGAAGTCAGGTGTGTTAATCATTTATTCGCACAAAGCTGCTAAAAACACATTAACTTAAATAAAATGTCGCCGCACAATCACAACAGAGTACCTGGCTGCTCTCTTTGGCTGGAGAAGGACCGTCCGGGGCTTCGGCCGGCACGGGGGAGACGCTCTGAGTGGAGGGGACGCTCTCCGTCTTGTCCTCGTCCTCCACCTCCTCTTCCTCTCCCTCGGTGCTGTGGGCCGAGCTGGACTGAGACTGATCCTCCGAGGTCATGTACTGGTGATAGCGGCTCGGCACCGATGTCTTCTTGGAAGCCGCGTCGCCGTTGACGCGCTTTTGCGGGTCATCCACCTGTAACGGGGGGAATCCACACTTTACCTCCCTGAGAATAACATAATGCAAAAGGATCTTGAACAATACAGACGCATAAAATACGGATTATAAAAGAATACATGGGGGGCAACCTGGGAATGTGCTGTACTCTTTAATTGAGAGTGAAAATGACATTGTACCTGAACCAACAAGAAAAAAGATTTGTCACACAGAATGATCGAGTACTCACTGCAAAGGCCCGGGGAATAGAGCTGAGGCGTGACGACTGGGTCCCGAAGGGCCGCGGCGCGACAACCGAGGTCAGACGAGCGCTATCTGCTCTCTGGTAGCTCCTGGGGAGGGAGGCGGGAACCCGAGACACCCCGGGAGGCTTGGCGTCCATTGAGCTGGGCTGTGCTGGTTGCTGGTACAGGGGAGCAGAGGAGGGGGCCACCGCCTCCGTCTGTGGGCCCGACAGCGGGAGCCTCGGCTCGGGCGACCTTTTCAGGGCGCTTGAAGACGAGACGGCGGCCACCGCCGCCGCCGCCTCGACCGGGCCGCTGCGCTCTGAGACTGGGCGATGAGAACTCGCCGGTGCCGCCGGAGGCCGGGACCTGCGGGGGAGGCCGGGGCTGCTGGGGGCGATGGGGGCGGTGGCGGTAGTGGCGGCGCTGCCGGCAGGACTGTCCAGAGCCTCGACTGCGGCGGGAGGGGGAGCGGCCCTGCCAGCAGCTGGGGGTTGGTCCTCTCTCAGAGGAGGCTCGGGGGACTCGGAAGAATAGTAGGGAGTGTCAATGGTGTAGCTCCTGGCGGGGAGGGTCCGGGGACGAGGGGAAGCCACCGGCGTGTCAAATACGTCCTCGTCGTCCAGGTAAGACAGAGATCCAATGCGACCGCCAACGCTGTTGTTTCTTTTATTTTCCCTGAGGACAGAGGAGCAGAACGGGGGTGGAATGAGGGAGGGGGGGGGGTGGAGAGTAATGGGTGAAATTAAAGACGAGGGTGGAAGAGGATGCAATTTAGACAGACGAATGGGGGGTGAGTGTCAGGGAGGAAAATAAAAGGGTTGAAAAGCAGGGGGTTGTTGGCCGTGATTCCATTACACTTTGAGACTGATGGCGAGAATACGGACAAACAAGCCTCAGACAGCTGCATCAGATACCTTCTCTCCTATTACCTTAGCAAAGCATCCCCCTCTGAGGGTTAAAAGAAGGCGTAGAAGAGGAATTAATTCAGCGTGTGTTGCTTATAGTGGTCAATCTATCAGTACCTCTGCGCAGCTGATCGAGACGTGTGTTTTTCCTTACCTCTCCTCTTGCATCTCCTTGAAGGTCTTGGACCTTCTGCTGCCGGTCGTGCTCTCCTCTATCTTCTCCCTCTCTTCTTTCTTCTTCACTATATCAGAGTTGACACTCCTGCGCCGGTTCTTCCACTTGCTCAGGTCCTGTACAGGAAAAAGGAAGCCCATCTAACCTCATACACCATTTTTGCAACAGTTACACGGAGAGGTTGTACAGCTGGGAAGTAGGGAAGTAAAAAAAAAAGCCTCCAGAATGGGCTTGATGTGTGGTGTTCTATTTGTGGGCCTTCGGCTCCTCCCAGCTCACCTCTCCTGTGTATTGGGGACTGTGTGACCTAAATGCTGCTTTTAGACTCCATTATACTGCGAATGACACCAATCACACTGCTGGCTGACAGCACGTCACACAAACATTACGTATTATACACCTTGAAATGGCGCTTTTAACATTAAAGATTGGAGCGGCCGCTGTACTTTGTAAAAGGGGTTTTCCAGGAATAACCCCCACCTTAAAGTCAACTTACCACGGAGTCATGTAGTTGTTTTCATTCCAGCGTCTCTGTCCCACATCATCTCTCAACAATACGCGTCCATAAAACCAGTCTTACATGAAGTATATCGTTAGTATATACAGGAAGTTGTGTATCCTGCCACAAACAGGGATTTGGAAACCAGGACAGTCTATAGCCAGAGGGCAGCGCTGCGCCCTCACACTTCTGTGTGGGGAGCCGTCGCTTTTTGCTGGTCGCCCCAATTGGGAAAAGAAGAATGGAGGCACCTGGAGCGCCAGTGCTCAGCAGACGTATTAGTTACTCACATCCTGCCACTTATCCTCAGTTTCCTTTATCTGCTCGCGGTACTTCTGCAGCTCCTCGTAGCGGGCCTGCCGGGCGATGCTGGACTCCACCTGGATGTCGCTCGTTGATTTACTCCTGTGGAGAGGAAGAGTGAAGAGGGTTTTTCAAAAAATCTGCAACTGAAGTGACAGCTGGATGGGATGTTTAGTTTCATATCCATCAGGAAGCAAGTTATTGCATGCATTAAAATCGTATCAAATAAATAGTTAAAACAAACACCATATTCTTAATAGTCCAAATTATTTCCAATTGATACTTTGCGCTCATATGTTTGGATGTTGGCGCTGGAAATAAGTCGGATTAGAGCTTTAACCTGTCACCGGGTGTTAGTCTGACACACAGCACACGGGTCAACCACCACGCCTGTGGGTTAGTCACACGTATCACGGCGCTCCCCCGTCAAGCAAAGAGAACTCCCGCCCGGCCTCCGGGTCCTCACCTGTTCCCCCGTTGACACGTTTGTGTGTCTCCCCCTCTGTCAGGGCGGACAGCCCGTCGCTCAGTGATCGGCCTCACTGGGACGCGCTAGGGTTTAGTTGGATGACACCGGCGTGTCGGTACTGTGTGCGTCTGTTCACTTTGTTGCTCTGTCAATGGAGCTTTGTGGAGCAGCAGCACACACACCCCCTCCATCACCCCCTCACCCCCCCCACACACACACACACACACGCGGCCCTGAACTTGGACCCGTGCCAAACAATGCACTGTGTTGTATGTCAGCATTTAGCAGGCCGGTGGGTGAGAGCAGCACCACAAAAGCAGGGGAGGGGGGGTCGGGGTGTTGGCGAGCGAATGCAAACGTGCCACATTCCTGGGAGCCCGCATCAACTCACCCGTCGAAACTCTCTTGCACTTGCTGCTGTCTAGGGAACCGGAGAGAGCCAAACACAAACAAAGTCACATTTCTGCGGAGGGAGCATGTGGCAGCGAGCGCGTGAGAGCGGCCCGTCGCTCTCACGCGAGATCATCCCCCTGCCAGCCGGCGGGGGGGGGGCCACGAGTGTACGTGAACCAAGGTAAAATATGACTCGGCTGGATCTCCCTTCACCCACTGAGAAGCTTAGTTTAAAATGGACAGTTGACCCCAAATCAAAGACACACAATTATTCCCACCTGTGCTTAAAAGCCTGAGCTATATATTTTTACTCTTACCTACATTACAAACATCAGAGATACAAATATCTAGTCGTACCAGCACTACAGCCCGCCTCAGCTCTGGGGTGAACGGTCCCTTTAAAGGTGTTTATATCTTACAGCACAGGATTAACATTTGCACGGGCAGTTGTGCAGACATGCACGTCTCCGTAAAGGAGATGTCTCTGGTAGCATAGCTTTAACGTCCAGATGGCCTTGACCCGGGTTAAATGGTTTCTTGATGCGTGCCTGTGTGTGTGTGTGTGTGGGTGGGTGTGTGTCTGTTGATGTGCAAACCCTGCAGTGCAGCTTTGCGTTCAGGTTACCATGGAGTCCGCGAGTCGTATCTTCTTTCGGAGCCTCGGGGGAATTTCTACAGGCCTTTCGAGTCGGCGCAACAGACGCGACTGTGTTCTCAAGACGCCCGAGCTCGGCGCAGTGTGCGTCGCGTTCGTATATTACTCAGGCTTGAACTTTTCCACACTCTCGTGCTGCTGGAGCTTTGCATGTCAGTGTGAGGGTCCCTCCCCTGAGGAGAACCGCACTGGACTCTGGACCGGTCCGTGTTGCTGTAGGTGTCAGGTGAGTTCAACAAACGGCCACATTCCATCACGAGATCACGAGGTCTTTATTTTATTTATTAAGCTCTTATATATGTTTTTTTCCATTCACAGGCAAACCCGGTCGGATAGAAAAACAACACCAAAGACTAAATGCAGAACTCGGCTCTGTTTAAACAGTTGCTTTGTTCAAAGTCACTCTTCAAAAACACAGTAGCGGCAGGTTTCCATGCACAGTCTCACAGTCAAATGAACCATACCCCCGTTGAGCTGGAAAACCAGTTTGCCTGCAGTTTCTTGTAAACGGGGAAAACACCTTATGGTAACAATAAACAACAAACAATGAATAAACAAGACAGAGCTGTTGCCGTGCCTCTGTTGCAGTTTGTGCGACTGACCGTGCGAAGGCACCTATTTGTTTTCACGAAGAAGAGCTCCAAGAGACGGCCCTCACAAGTTGGATCGACGCGCAAGTCTGACGACTATCTGCTCTGACACACGGACAGTCGACTAACGCGCCGATCTGCCTTCACAACTTCAGAGCAGCCAGCCTCTCCACCATGAGCCTCTTCTTGTATCTCAGCCGGCCGGCTTCCCGGATCTCCTGCCATCTCCGCAGGTCGCCTTCGCTGCAGGACGACGGCACCGAGGGCGTCGCCTGGTTGGCCGGCGCGTCCCTCTGTGAGCTCTGGCTCCGATCGGGACAGAGCTTCCGGACCAGCATGTCGTCTGTCTTGGGGCGCGCCTCCTCCCCGGCCCGATCCTGCCCATGCGCAGCGTCCTCCCGAGTCAGGGGGCACGGCGGGCACAGCAGTCTGGCCTTGAGATCGGGGGGCAGAGCCCACGGCTCGGGGACGGCCATGGGGGCGTAGCGGTCCGGTGCTCCCGAGAGAGGCCGCTGCTGCAGAGCCCGCTGGCTCTTCTCCTTGCGATAGACCACGTCGTCCTGCTCGATGTCGGGGTACTGGTCCTCGTCGCGCCGCTGGGTGACGATGTTGAGCTGCGGCTCGGACGAGTACGCCCGGCGGCTGGCGGAAAGCCGGGTCTTCATCATGGCCATGTCCGCGTTGGACTGGAAGGCCAGCGTCCGCCTGGCGAACATGTCGTCGTTCTCCAGGTCGGGGGAAACGCTCTCATAGTCAAAGGGGTCCGGGGGCTCCCGGGGGTCTTGGCGCCCCAAGAGGGGCCAACGCTCACATTTGACCAGTCTGGGACCCGAGGCGGGGTCCACTGGGGCGAACGCCAGAGGGGGGGGCTCTAACAAAGGGTGCTGTGGGAGAGTGTGTGCTTGCATGTGAGGACTGCAGGGGTGGGCAGAAGAAGAGAGAAGGACAGAGAGCTGATGAGTGCATGCATGTGAACTGCATCGGGAGCAGGAAAAGGAGGAAGAGAAACATCACGCTGCCATATGGTGATATTTGATCAAATCAGGATCACTCTGGTAATAAATAAAACGGCGACGTAGCGGCTATCCCTCGAATAGATGGTAATAAAAATATCAGAAGTCTGAGTTACAGCCTATTCTCTGCAAAGGTCAGTGCAAGAAAGCTGCTCTATGAAGCGAGTTAGGGGAACCTCCCCAGTACGTATTATTATTAGTATATTAGAAAGCAGCTCCTCAGCCCCAGCAGGGGCCGATCATATTCCTCCTTTGCAAGGTGGGCGCTCTAGAACACCCCGTCTTTGTCACAATCATGCAGCTGTATGGACCTTTTCCCCACAACAAGGGTGGCGTGAGCCGAGGCCTCGCGCGCGTGGGGGGGGGAGCGGGAGGGGCCGGAGGGAGGGCGGGCGGAGGAGAGCCACGGGCTGATGTCACAGTCGGAATCGTCCGACGAAGAGCCCGACTTCTTATAGCTACAGCCGAGGCGGGCGGGGTGCAGAGGACAGGAGCAGAGAGAGAGAGTAAAGGGGAGGGGGGGGGGGGAGGAGAAAGTAAAAGTAAGTTGGAGGAACCTGTACCGAAAATGCAGTGAACGACAGAAAGGTTAAAGTGACGTGGAAAGAAAAGATTGTGCAAGAATAAGACATTTGATCCATATTGGTACTTATAAGGTATAAATATAAGGAAGTCTGTATATATGAGAGAATTCCATGCTGGATTTCAACGCCCTCACACACCTGAAGCCTTGCATCTTCTTGTACCAGGGTTTCGTCTGCGAGCCCAGTTTGATCTTCTGAATGTGAACGTCTTCTTCGGGCGTCCAGAACTTGGGCAAGAACTTGTCATAGGACACCTTGGCCACGGGCCGCGGTTTGGCGCCCATCTTGCGGGAGTAGAGGTCATCGTGGACGGGGTCGGCGTAGCCCACCTCGTCGTCCTCGTCCTCAGAGTCGTCGCAAATCTCCCTGAACAGGCTGTCCGTGGACACGGGGCGGCGGTGGTCCACCCTTACGTAGCCCTGCCGGGGGGGCCGCGCACTGCCGCTGCTGCTCGAGAGAGACGGCCAATCACACGTGTCAAAGAGACCCCCTTTTTCCCCGGCGGCAGCACAGCACGCCAGTCACGCAAAGAGTTGCAGAACCACCTCAAACGAGACGAGATTAGCCATCATCAATGAGACGCACGCTCAACAAAACAAGCTGTAAAAGAGGCAAAATATTGATTTGGGGAGGTAATGTCGCCAAATCACTCCTCTCAGCTGAGGCGCAAACAAAAGGCGTGCTGCAGCAAAACAAAAACCTCGAAACAAGTCAAACAGAAAGCACTTTGAGGCGAGTACAGAGCTCTGTTAGACGCATCACACTACAACCAAGGGCGTTGCATCATGGTTACTATCAACCATGCAAACTGAGGGTAAGAGAAGCGCGATAGTTTGTGCTCATCAGGCAGCCACACCAAGGTCGCTCTCTGACCTGAGGCCGGTCACATTCGGTTGAGGAGCAACATTGGGGGACAAGGTGACCGTGGGCTCGGGGCCCCCGCCGGCCTTGGGACTGACTGGCACGGCGAAGTTGACGGGCGCGGCCGGGGAGGGGCTGTGGAAGCGCCTGCTGGCGAGGTCGTCCAGGACGAGGTCGGGGTCCGGCCGCTCGGCGTCCGAGTCGCTGCCGCTCTCGTACTCGTGGGCCCACTGCAGACGAGGCGCGGGAGACGCGCTCGGAGACTCCTGGCCGGTGCCTTCGGAGAAAAGCCTCCCTTGGCTGAGGCGTCCCACGGTCCACGGGGAGATGAAAGACAACACCGGTACACAACCAACGGTGACCATTCGACACAACAACAACGACACCACGATCACCGACATGACGGCAGAAGTGACGGCGTCAGACCGGGGGGGGGAAAGACCTTTGTGAGCAAACACCTGGCGTATCTTGGCGTTGAGGAAGCGTGTCGCCCTACCTGGTGAGCGTGGCTCCGTCCTCGGCGTAGGTGGGGTTGGCCCAGCTGCGGCGGTTGTCCTCATTGCGCTCAGCCCGTTTCTTCCTCAGTGGAGCGGGCACGTAGGCCGAGGCTTTGTCTTTGGTGGGCAGGAACTGGTTAAACTGGGAGCTGGCCTTTGGCGTGAGGGTTACTGACCGGCGGTAGCTGAGAGCGCTCTTGTTGTCGGCCATGCCGAGGAAGGAGTCGGCCTCGGTGTCGCTGAAACAACCTGGGGAGACGGGGAGGAATAACAACAAAAAGGAGGAGTGAGGTGTGAGTGGAGCAAAGAGCGCTGTGGCGTCTGGCGGGACTCTGGAGGAGGAACAGTGGGGAGCAGGGTGGGGAGCGGAGGCCTCCTCATTTACAAGCCCTTGAGGAATGTCGCGGTCCTACATCACGGGAGGGGGGGGGGGGCACCCTGAGATCACTGACCACTACTTCAACCTCACTTTTGTCATGAAACAAGATTGCAGATCTCATTCTTTGGATACTTTTTCCACTGAAAACCTCCACTTTCACACCACTAGATGGCAATAGGTGTTTGTTTTCACTGATGGGAGGCAACTTTCTGGCTCCGATGCCGCATAGCTTTCCACTTCACAAATATTTGAAGTTCTGGACAGAACCAAGCTGAAATTTGAGAAACACTTAAATGACAATCTGCAGCTCGGATGTGAGGGGCGCGACACGAAGCAACATGCTGTGATCTGTTGAATTCCTCAAAGTCAACTTCAGATGGGAAAAGGAAGCGGTGAAGAGCAGAAGATTTGGATTATGTTTGCATAGAGATGCAAAAGAGATGAGTTGTCTTACCCTCGCTGCTGCCTTTGAGAGTGATGTCAGAGGAGATGCTCTGGGTTCCGGAGCCCAAGGAGTCCAAGCTGTCCCGGGAGTCGTCTCTCCAGTGACCTCCTGCCCCTCCTCCCTCCTCTCTCAGCTGGAAGGGCTCCTCTCGCTCTGCGCACCAGCTGTCTCCAAAACCGCTGTCTCTGACGCTGACGCTTTTTGGACCGGACGATTCCTGCAGAGCCTTTTATTCACACACAAACACACACAGACACTCACAGTCAGACAGGCTGGCAAGTAATATTTATCTCAGCGGTGTGTGTGGGGCGGTAGAGGTCTGGCCTCGCGCTCCTGCACACTGAGTGACTGGACATGCTCCTGTACAGTCCATGAGAGACGATGCATTCACTGACATCTCTGTCGAAACAAACAGGGTCGTGCACCGTGTGCCTTTAATGGCTATTTACTCTCTGAGGACGGCTCTTGAACACATAAGCAACCCCAAAGCCCCTTTAACCGGCGGAGCTAAGAACAAGCCAAAACGTGAAAATGTTTTTTCAGATCTGTAATCCATCAAATCCTAGCAGACAACACAAGTCCACAAACTAAACCCTGGCCAACCCTGCGCCACTGAATCCGGATTATCATAGCTAAACGTACAAGGCGGCGAGGTAACCGACTGCTATTACCGAGTCAGTTTAAATCATAGGGGACTTGCTCACCATCACCTTTAAATCCTTGTGAGAGCAAAGTGCCAAATTCAACAACTAAATGAGCACAGGGTCAGAAAACAGGCTCCTTTCAAAGAGCAAAGCTATTTTCCCCTGCAGATACGAGCCGACTGGGCGGCCGTGCTGTAAACACGGTTTGAAATAGCAGAGTCAAGGGATGGGGTCATCTATGACGAAATAGGATTGGGTTTTAGAGGCCCGAAATCCAAGGTCAGTCTGCCTTTCTTCCACACATAGTGTACATACCGGGGGAGGATACAGAAATACGCTGGGCACTGGCCGTAAAAAAAGAAAGGATCGCATTTAAGTGGTTTCCACGATGGGATGATCATCCACTGTTTTACCTTGTATAGTGCAGTGCCCAGTAAGCCCTCGAACGCCTTCAAATTCAGCTGGGACCCGTCATAGAAACCGTCACACTGAGATCTTCTACCAAGCCAGTAAATGGTGATCAGCACCTGGAAAGGTGAAAACAGGTTGTTATACACAGCATGTGGAATGAAGGTGGAAGAACTACAGTCAGCGGACAGTATCAGGTCAAAGCTCCACCCTCTGCCCCAGACCGTGAGCGCTGCACCAGGATCAGCAGCGGATATCACTGCTCCTGCTCCCAGGCCCATCCAGAATACTCTGCTGCTGTTTGTGTGTTGGGCCGGGCAGGTAAACGCACACACTCATCGCTCCTTTGCAACGTTTTGCTCTTCCCCATTTACACGATACATTTCAAACGGACGCGTCAGCTATTTGGTTCGTGTCACGTGGACAGATGGGGGATTATAATGTCTGTTTGATCAAACACGATGGAGCTGTGATGACAAATGCTACGCACTGTGGGGCGAATTAAACACTCTGTACTTTAAGGAGGAAAACGTGTTCCAGTTTCAATATCTTGGTCATTGTCAATAAATGTTTCAATATAGAATAAAAGCATTTACATTTGACATAAAGCCTACAGTGGGCCTTTGGTTGGGAGTCGTGCAATGAGCCCATACAATAATTCCATCCACAAAATTAGCCCGAAGGAAGATTAATATCTTAAATTGAGTGTCTGTCTGTATATTATTTTTTCTCTCCCTTTCCGTTCACTTTCTGTCACAAAGCCCCCCAAAAATAATGTAATGTACGCATAAAGAAAATTGTTATAGTCACATATTGTGTTGTTTTATATCAATTGTCATCTTAACAATGACATTAAATGTTGAAGTGACTATGAAGGTATCACATTAAAAGAGTATCCATTACCCACAATGCACATAGCCCACAGCTGCTTGTCCCAAATATAGCTGAGGTGCTACAGAGGTCAAGTAAACTCATCCCTTTCTAATTGCACAACTCCAGAATCCTTTTTATTTTCATTTCTTATACTTAAAGTCTCGATGGGTATTGTAGGTATTGCACAGCTCTTGGGGCATCAACAGGCTTTACATACACGCATGTAGGCAGTAACTTCCCCTATACGGGAATTCTATTTTTATCAATGAAAACAAGCTATTTTTCTTATATATATTTTTCCACTCACATTTTTCAGCCTCCTGTCGGTCTCTTGATGCCTGCGAGAGAAAGAGCACACAACAGACGTGTGTGTGTGAGAGAAAGTGACAATAAAAGAACACAGGGCATGCTTGTTGGGTGCTGAAAGGGCTGGAAAGTGAGAGCACAATCCAGACCGGCTGCCAGCCCTTCGCCCGCTCGCACACAACAACACCCAGGCAGAGAAACAAACACACATTTATGGAAAAAATAATTGCGTGTTTTATGTGCGCGTCTATTTTTACACTAATCGCACAAGCAATCGGCGGCTGTAAAAACAGCTAGTTAAAGCCGAGGGGCATAAGGAATGATTTTGTTTCTGATTTCCAACGATGTATCTAATAAGCGAGGACCTCCCCTGTGAATGGCTGTCCTGTTGGAGCAGCGCGGCCTCTCACGTGCTCCTCCTGTGCAACCAGACTACGCTCCCAGTGTCAACCTGCACGCCTGACATATTCCTCTTTTGTCTCGTGCACATGGTGTACCTGCCTGAGGTGAGCGCCGTGTGTATTCAGAGTGGTCGGTAAACCGCGGTGGGCGTAGCGCTGACGGGGGAAGATTTAGATCCCCCTCAGCAGCTCTGCACGCCACGCATTCCGTAATACGAGAGTCACACGCCACTCTCTTCCCAGGAGCACTCGGGTCCCTTTCCCAGCATGCGACGCGCGCCGCGTGTGTGGCGTCGACACCTGAGCCGCGTCAGTCAAACGTCAGCTTTATGTGGGTCTCAAGTTCAGGAGGAGGAAGCCCACCGAGGACGGAGAGTTGGACCACATCATTTCAATCAGGACCGAGACATTAGCACTGATGCTGTATAACTGTGACGTATTTCATAACTAAAGCATAACCATGTTATCGCCCTTATAAATATTCTAGAGAAAGGTATTTTTTACTCATCAAACTTTATCTGACAGCTATAGTTACCCGACGGATTTCACATTAAAAGCACTGGATGATTTAGTAAAATACAACAGACTGGTAAAGACAAAACCACTGGGAAACGGAGCAGATCAACTTTCTCACCAGCGTGCGTCACGGTCGGGAGTGCTAATGCTAATTTGCCAGCGGCGGAGACCGAAATGGACGGTTACCAATTTACAGCAAATTTATAGGCCCAATAAAAGAGGTGGGCGGGAAACAAAAAATGCCCTCTCTCTTGTGTGGCTTGGAACACTGTCACAACGCCTAAGATTACAGCGGGGTCGGCCGGATCCCAAAAAGTATAAAGAGCTCTACACCAAAAACTACCAGCGCGCTGCTTCTCGTAACGCTGATTTATGGCTGATGGGGGCAGCTGAACAGAAGGGGACGTATATGTACATATATAAATGGGTATTTCCAGGCTTCCAAAGGAGCTTCTGGACTACTGAAATCAGCTGACAGCTCATATGATGGAGGGTAATCATGTCATCCGAGTAACACATGTAAATTCTGCACAGAGAGGACACCATCGGTACGTGTACATGCACACACATACATCACTATATGCACATACACTGGATGACGTCGGTCATGGGATTTTATTTTTACAGTCTTTGACATTCAAACTTGTTTTTATGAGTAACGCACTGTGTTCAGTGGCTGTATATCACTGTATATTAGTTCTCTCTCGTTGCAGGCAGACCGCGTGTCTGGAGGAGTGTGTTCTGCCAGGACAAACCAACCAGACAAAGAGACCCACACGCAACCGTTGAAATGTGAACGTTGGACAAACAACTAATAAGCCAACGTAAATGATTCCCACTTCCCGTGTGCCGCGACAGAGAAAAAAATGTCCCTCTCTGTTTGAGGTCGGAGACCACAGGATGGGTCTCCATCCATGCACACCAACCAGCCGACAACATCCCAACACAAACAAACCCTAAATTAGTGTGTGTGTGTGTGAGACGACAAGCATTCGTCTGCCATGAAGGTATCTTGCTCTGCAGCATTCACCAACGCCACGTGTGACCTCCAACACCCACGCTCATTATTCTAAAGAAACACTGGATTTAAAGACACGCCCAGCCGCTCTCCCCGAGTGGCCCTGACAGACCTTCCATGCAGGGTGATGGGTGGAACCGACGGGTCGGAGCATCATTGTGCTTATCGGAGACACTGCAGCCTCTGTGCGGCACACATATAACCCCTTGTGCTGTTTTTACACGGCGCCGGCCGTGTCTTTATTGGCCATTCTTTCACAATCGGCCACAAGAAGTGACGGCGGCGCCACCGAACCACACCCCGACTCCTACCACACGGGCCACTGCTTTCTCCCTGCGCACAATGCGCCGAGCGCCACGGCCACATCACGAGTAAATCCTGATAACAGGCGGAGTAGAATTTGTTTTGGAGACAGCACATTCCTTCAGGTACATCAAACATTTGGTTTGATCCCCGGCCAGGGATGCCGTTGCGTAAACGGAATCATCTAAGAACGCGGCGCGGCCACTCCTCCGCATCTATTGTTTGAAACGGCTCGTTGGCATTCCACAAAGTTTGGATGTGCTGGCCGATCCGGTACGGCTTCTTTTTTTTCCGGTTTGGAGAACAGTGAACCCGTGTCAATAATTTGCTTAAAAATCTAGCGGTGGGAAGGAGCGAAACTTTGGACCCCTCTCAGCGGGGGACTTGTTTTGACAGGTCATGCAGCCAAAGCTGGACTCATACGCTCTTCCCCTCCTGCAGGTAATAGCACTTTGGTGAAAAGCGCCCCATTTAAAGACGTGGCACCAGCGTAATACGCTTCAAACCAGCGTTAACTCACAACATCCCGTAGCTGTTGCGTAACGTTGTCGCTCATTCGGACTTGTGTTTCTGGTGCCCTGATGAAGGCAAGTCAACGCTCTTACTGAGGGCTGATGTTACATTGTTATCATAAAGCCTGTTGTAGGTATTAAAAGTAGATCCACATGCTTCTTTACATGCAGTGAGGTGTAAAGCATACAATGGAGGTGCACACGTTAGGTGCAAATACCTCAGAATTGTACATAGTAATTGAGTTAATCTACTACTAATGTACCACTACCAACAGCTAGTTCTCTGGGGCGCATTACAACGTCTGCACAGTATGAGATGAGAAATGCTGATATTCCTGTAGGAGTACTTTGATAGAAACAGGCTTGAGGAGGGTTAGCACAAGGCTCAACAAGTACAGCAGTGCAGTGTGAGAACAAACACGGCAACATCCACCTTTAAGGGCAGATACACATCAGAGAGCAAAACTGATCGTCTGACCTTTTCTGTCGCCAGGGGAGACCTGACGCGTTTGAGCCCTCTTCTTTATGTCAGGGGCTGAGGTCCCCGTCCGCGCTCGACTTCATGCTGCTGAAATCTCCAAATGGCCGCTAAGTGCCTTTAAAGGAAGTGGCCCGGGGTTAAATTGAGCACTTTCCGACGCCGTGATTCATGCGAAGCACTTCGATGCCCTCAGGCCCCATTTCCTGGGCAGCTGCTACGTACAGAGGTGGTCTAAAGCAGACTGTGAATCACAGGTGATGAATCCAAGTCTGATCTGGTCACTTTGGTCGCTGATAAACGTCTTTATCAGATTGCAGGTTACACAACACGAGGCAATAGAGCAATGTGCGCTCCAGATGGCGTCGATGCCAAAACTACAACAGCCACCAGGCTCAAAGGTCAACAAGGAGATGTAATGATCTTTTATGGCTGCCGTGACAACGCGGCCCGGCGTAAGTTATACTGTGCTCCCAGCACGCCTTGCTTCAATATTAAATGCATATCTGACTCAAGCTTTAAGCATGAAGGAAGGTACTGAGAACTAGATCTCACGCACCAACTACCAACTAAGAACACATTCATCTCAGGTCAGAGAACAAGTGTTGAGGGACAGTAAATAACTCATTTTGTTGTATAGCACCTTTTATTCTAAGTAGATGCAGATTAGGGCTGAAATGTATTATTTCCTCATTCATTGTTGGGTCTTTGGAATACCAAAACCTTTGAAACGCCATTTAACAAGTCAGAATATGTCTGTTTTTTTCTGGAAAAATGAATAATTTAATATGGTACAATTTACACTGTTTCAACCAAAAGAAAAGCAAGAAAAATGAAAGAAATTGAAACATTCAAATGTATAAAGGTGCATAACAACAGAAAAGAGTGAAGGCTTCATGCATCAGTGATGCCTTTACAAGGAAAAGGAAAGTTACAGCACCAACACGATAACAGCCTACTGCTGACGACACGGAGAACCGGGAAGCTGAGCAAAGCACCTGTCAGACTGGGTTCAAGGGAGTGGAGGTTGGACACGCAAAGACAGCTGATCTCTGTGTGTGTGTGTGTGTGTGTGTGTGTGTGTGTGAGCCTCATTTGCCTGCAGGCTCCGATAAGCCTTCGGTGAAATAAAGCCATTGGTTGTGCTCGTCTGCGGCCATGTTTGGGATGAACTCCTCATGTTACTCCGTGTGTGCCGTCTCTCTAGTACCGCAGACGGGGGACACCACAGCGTTTCTACATCTACAGCCCCGATGAAACAAGCTGCATTAAAGAAGTGACTGGAAATCTTCTTGAAGCTGAGAGTCGGAGCAGCTGCAGGTTCATCAGAAACTGTGTGACGTGTTAACGTGTTTATTTCTCTAAGAAAGGGAGAAAAACACCATCTCGGGCCGGCAGGAGGTATTACACGAGATCCAAACCACATGTACGGGGGGGGGGGGGGGCACACTATTAAAAGCTCTTGTCAAAGTGACCCCCGGGTCCTAAAATTAGAAAGTGACCCCCCCACACACACACTCCCCCAAAACACAGCATGCAGGCAAACATGTTTTAGTAACATGTCAGCGTTCACCGACGTGAATCTGGGCGCCATTCCGTTCCACGCTGTGAGCGTCCGTTTGGGATAAAAGTCATTTACTGCCCGTTTCATAAGAGACAGATAATGCCAGAGGGGAAACGTGTGATAAGGCCACAGGTGATCCAAAGATCGCCTCTGTATTTATGAGCCTGCGTGTCTCGCAGAGGGTGTGTCTGGGTGGGAACACGGCATTCAGATTTGTTTATTCAGAGTTCATATTGCACAGTACGTCTGCCTCCCTGTGTGTGTGTGTGTGTGTGTGTGTGCTTTATGACCGCCGTTGTGCTACTGAACAATGACTGACAGGAGCCCTGGGTGGATCGTGGGAACAATGGTGTTCCACATTGTGGCGACGTCTCGGAGCAGCCGCTCAGAGACACACGCACTGTGTCCCACGGAGCGATGTACTCGCAGTAGCGCGCTCATCTACGTGGGGTTTAACAAGCTGCAGGTACGAGCCCTTTAGGCTTTGTGAAACAGCCACACGGAGAGAGTGTGCCACTCTGACTGCGCCGCGAGCTCAGTGTCACACTCCTGCTGAGGCGCACCTGTGTGAAATAACAAAAAAACGGAACAGGTTGTTCGACATACCGCGGGCACATCCAACCGGCACGCAAACGCCAGTGGAGCGGCGGCCTGGGAGGGAAAAAGTGTAAACAGTGTCTCTGTGTGTCTTTGTCCTGGCTGAGCTGCTCACTGTTCAGAATAAAAGCTTTCTCCACGTTGCCGTACTGCCATGACGGGACCACTTTGTCGTGAGGTTTTGGCACCATAAAGGAAATCACCAGGCGGGACCAGCGGACATGCTGGACGGCCCGTGCTTCCTCCTTCAAGGACGTGTGGTTCCATCAATCTTAGAATACACTGCTGCTGGTTTCATTAGCAGTTGGAGTGCTTCCATCCTTATGTGAACCGTTTATGTCATTGACTGTGCCACCTGTTATTTCTGTACACATTACCTCTATTGACTGTCGCTCTCCCTACGGTCTCTTCCGTTTGTTCCTTTAACCCATTAAAGGTTGATTTAAAGGCATTTTGAGATACACAAAAACAGTGAATAGAATAGAATGGAGTTTGGCTTTTTCGTGGCTGCTCAAGAACACAAGAAAACACGCGGAGTGAAAATAATAGCGAAGTGCAGCTTTAACCACGCCTCCCACGAGGACACACGTGCTCCGCAATTCCTCGTGTGGGAGAGCCACACGTTTATACTTTAAGCGTCAGCACAACTGGAAAAACTACACAAACCAAGGAGGGCGAAACCGCAACTTGGCCCTCGACTCGGTGAACGGCACCAACGGGCCTCTGGTGGCTCAGCACTTACTTGACTGTGACCCTCGTGGATAAGTCCTGGAGATCTCCGGGGTGGAAGAGCTGCGCCTCCTTTAGTCCCAGCTTCCGGCAGGCTTTGAGGAAGACGTTGAGGTTGTCCTGGACAGAGAACGGAGACGTGGATGAGGGCTGTCCACCTCCAGGAGGCGAAAAAGTAAATCACACAAGAATTCTCTGGCAGCGGAAGCCGCCTGAACTCACTGCTTCCAAAGTTCACTTTGCCAGAGAGCAGAGACACGACGGGGAGGAGCATGTGTGTGGCAAATAAGAAGGGACCCAGTGCACAGCGCACACACACACACACAATCACACTGGGGGAGGGAGGGAGTGGGTGGGAGGAGGGGGCATGGCAGGAGGTGACGGACGGCAGCAAAGCTACCTGTGGGACGGGTCGGGGTAGGAACACCCTCTGGGCAGGAAGGATGACATCAACGTCAGAGCTCTGCACGACCCACCCAACCGGCTGTGCCAGTGTAGGAACCCGACACACACACACACACACACACACACACACACACACACACACACACACACACACACACAGAGGCACAATGGCTGCTGCGCTCTCCTTCTCCTCACACCCTGAAACCGTCCCCTCCCCTTCCCGTCAGGCCCTTCACTCCAGAATACCTGCGGTGGAGTATTTTGGAGACATTTGGTTGCTATGATACAAGAGGTCGGCTGACAGAAACCGATGGGAGGACATGGACGTGTCCTCGACGTGTCAATCATTTCATACTGCCCACAGTTGCATTCGCGTGCGCGACAAAAAGACATTTGGTTTGTTTCTATAAATATACACTCATCTTTCCCTCCCACCGCTCCTCTCCGGGGGAGAGACTCCTCCAGTGCTGCTGCCGTTTGGCTTGTTCGCGAGTCGGCACTTCCTCTGGGACACAACTCCTTAGGAGGGTTTCATGTAATGACACATGGCCCCAACGTGGGTTTGGAATAATTAAGGGGTAGCTAGTTCTAAATTTAAATGGCAAACATGCTTGTTAGCAAATGGCAGGGACAGTGTTGACCTCTCCGAGCAGTAATCCCTCACTGACAGCTTCGCTTGTCCCTCAACAGCACTTTGCTGGGCCCTAGAGGTCACGCTTGGCCCCTACAGGCCACGGCCCATCTGTCAACAGGCACCGGGGTCACCCGTTATTCATTATAACAGGAGATGTCTTCTCTGCCTCTGCTTTCTACTGCTAACGGACCTGACAATGGGCAGAGCAGCGTCGGGTAACTGCTGATGGCATCGCTGCAAACAGTGAGTGTGACCTTCATCTCTCTCACCTTGTGACCCCGCGACTCCTTCACATGCACGTTTTACAGTGACACCTCATTTATCACCTCGTCGTCGGAACTCTGTGTGTTACATATGATCTAAGCCCGACACACGCTGATTTTTAAAGTAGAAGATAATTAGTCAGTGCTCTCTGGTGGACAATCTATGCAACTGTGACTCAGACATGATGCTGCTATTTCTGCAGCCATTTTTCTCTCCCCGACACGTAATGAAATAAGAACAGAAGACTAATGACAACTATATAATGTACTGACCCAGATGATTTATCAAACTGGGTCCTGGTAAAACTGGCTATAGAATGGTATAAAAGCAATGATGGAAGGCCCCTGGTCTAACCTAATGTCAATGAGGCCTGTAGGTATTACTGTGATTCAAGCTCAAAGGGAATTACGAACACACTTAAGCGACCGGCCCCAGAACATTTAGAGATAATGATGTAGAAGGAATGTTATGCTGACTTGTGCCTGCACATAATCCTGCTAAATATGCTGCACCCATCCAGCAGCCTCCTAATCCTCTCATGCAGACCCGAGCAACCCCCCCGCCCCCCCCCCTCCGCGACATTAAGCACTTTCACACAGAGAGTCAGAAGAATGGACTGCAAGGTGTCCGATTCGGATCCTTATTCCGGTCCAGTCGTGGTCGCTCTGGTTTCTTCTAATGCATTCTTTGTCTAAGATGGGCCTTCAGTACAATTACCCGCAACTGACCCCTTTCGCAGCGCTTTGACTGCCAGCTATGGTCAAAATATCAGGCAACTCTTGTGACAATAAAGAGATGGAAGAGATGGAATACTGGAGCCCCTCTCCCTTTCCCCCCAGCTGTCAGATCCAGACATAACACGCAGCCATACAACACAAACAGAGGGACTGAAACACGGCCGGATGCCTGTCATTGCTCGGATGATTACACAGACATTTACAGGAGTAAAAACACCCTTGGGGGTCATTGGAACTGTCTGTTTATCCCCTCCCACTGCTACCTCTACTCCCAGAGGAGTCGGTGCGTGCGGGAACATCCAATTACAGCGCCGCGGCGGTGGGCGGAGCCCGGGGGAGTCTTCTTTGGCCCCTGTGGACTCAACCCGGGGATCCAGATCCGGACCCCCGCTCACCTTCCGCTTCCTGCTGCAGCGGCGGTCGAGGCCGGACCGGGGTGAGGAGGCACCAAGGGGGGACCATGACCCGAACCCACAGCTGGCTGACTGCGCAGCCACAGGCAGGAGAGGTGGACCGACATGGGAAACATTCCCGAGGACACGAGTGAAGCCAAGGAATAGTCCTGGGTCTGGAGCCAATGTTGCTAAATATTTTGCTAAACCGCTCTTTTCCATCCCCGGCTTTTTGTTTCCGCTGGCAAGTCTTTGAGCGCTGCATTTTCAGGTAGCAAAACTAAATCCACAGCTTTGACCCTAAGGCCAGGACACGTTCCTGTATGAGCGTTGACGCGTTGGCGGAGGGGCGATACTGTGTGTCTACATCACAAACACACTGCTCGTCTGTCTTATTCTCCTCCGCGTATAAACTTTGAGCACGCTAGAAAATGCAGCGGGGATGGATAGAACACACGAAGACAAACCCGAGACAATAATCTGCTGAGGTATACAATCAATGCTTACACGGTTTCACAATTTCAGAGAACACAGCTAAATTCCAGGACATGGGCGAGTGGAGAGAGCACTTCCAAACCACACATTTGTTTTACTGCTTTGTCTATTTGCGTGTGTGGATACCTTCTCCAGACGTTTGCATAATGCCTCATTTGCATTATCCAACATACATTCTTCTTTTGTTAACCCGTTTACCGCAGTGACCCCTGAATGCTTTTCTTGGCGAGAGGGAGCAGCGCTGTTTGCCTTTTGGCGCCGTCTCCCCTTTTCCCCGCGCGGTCGGCAGTAACCGATCGCCGACCGGGAGCCTTCACGTTTAGAGAATTTATGATCAGGTGGATTCGAGGGTGAGGGGGAGGTTGGTCAAGTCCTCGGTAATACCGGGGTCCGAGTCCCGTTACCTCGCAGGTGTCCAGCCAGTTGCTCTGCAAACCGTCCAAACCGGGCTGCCGGTAGACCTGATGGCACCGGTTCGGCATCCTGCAAGTACCGCGTTTGCTCCCCGACTGAGTCTCTTCTACTGCAGGCTCGTCGCTGTCGTGCCAAACCCGTCGCGTGTTTGCGATCCCACCGCCGCGCTGGGCCCGGCTGGGTTGGGGTTTGGGGCTCTCTGTAATTCCTCCAGACAGCTGCACTCAATTACTCCCACAAGAGAGCGCTTTGTGAAGGATGGGTTTAAGAAGGTAGGGTTTTCAACCCTCTACTTCCCCAGCACTTGCGTCCAGACACTCCCAAAACATTGGTCCCACTGTGGCCCCAAAAGGGCCTCAATTTGCAGACACTGTGGGCTGTAAAAAGGTGAAAAGGCTTGGAAGCCCTGCTTGAATAACAGGTTGTTACGTGAGCCCTCGCCCGACCTCCCGTCACTCAATCAAAAACGTAATTATCCTCAGCGGCACAAAGACCTTTCTGTCTGAAATGACTTTGATTGAACGCAGCCTCCAGCGCGGCAGACATCATTTTTAACGTGCGCTCAAATGCGGCCGTTGGCCTTTCAGGCAGCTCGGCGCTCTCCAAAGTTATTAGCGCGGACGGATATGCGGAGCGACAAGTCACTGAGGCAAAGGCCGCTCTCTCACTGTGCACTCGCACACCACCGCGACCGGAGGGGAGGTCGGATGGGCGGCTGAGGGTACGTGGATCAAAAATACGCATTTTGTTTGTGTGGCGCTTTAAAAAGGTACTCGAGACACTTTACACGATGAGGAGTTAATGCAATAAACAATGGGAGTAATAATATGAAGAAGGGCGATGACATAACGCTGAATAGTTACTAGCATCACAGGTTGAAGGCAGCGTGGATGATGTGTGGTCCTTTGAGGAGGGACAGACATAGTTTCATGGAGCTATGCATTTCTTTTTGTTTCATGTTATGTTTTAAATGTATGGAATCGTTTCTTCTAAAGTAGAAACCCCGTCCTTTGTTGCATGGCCTATAGACTTTTTATTAATATCAATATTCTGAATGGTTTGATCTCTATATGAGCTAAACCTTTTTTATATGGCTGTAGACCAGATTGTCTTATTTATAGTAGCGATATACAAAATACTCTCCGGAATAAATACTTATAATACATGCACACAGTCCAACAGGAACCTTTGACCCAGCCTGTATCTCACTTTCAGATTGCTGCAGGTCATCAAGATGACGCCTCATTTACATATTTAAACAGAAAGTTTCAGAGGACTCATTTCCCTTCATGATAGCAGTTTAATAAAGACATCTGTCCAACATGTCACCCGTTCCAACTGAACCTAACGCCCACGAGACGTTCTGTCTCACATTCAAGCTGAATCAAAAGCGACTCACCAGGCCAGCGATGGGTGTGGGCAGCCGGTTAACCCTCCTGATAAGACCCGGCTTGATCTTGTTGATCAGACTGCAAACAAAGGAAAGGGAGGGATGGCATCAGGGGGAGGAGGAGGAGGAGGAGGGTGAAGTGAAAGCACTCGGCCGTCGGCTGGTCTGGTCTCACTGAAGCCAAACGTGTTGCAAAGCCTCGGTGTTGTGTGTTTACGACTGTGTTTAATGGCGGCCACCTGGCTACGGTTTAGTAAATGGCCGGCGCTGCACTGTGATGTAAACACGTCGGGTCCTCGGCTCCCGAAACGTACCCTCATCTGCTGGTAGAGCCAAGCAGGCACGGGCAGAAAAAAAAAACAACAACTTTTGGATCACAGAGGAATTAGCGGCAAAATTGACTCAGAATAAGGCTGCAGTTTATGTTCAATCTGCAGATTGTTGGCGTGATAATGACGTGTTCTGAGCTACACAAAACACCAGGAATCAATTTTACAATTATAAGGCAATGTCATTTTTCTTTTACAACCAACGGTCAAAAAACTCAGTAATAGCACGTGAAGATTCAACGTGATCTCCAAAACCTGTTCGTAAACATGTGTACGAAAATCTTGGACATACAAATTGGTAACAATGCATAGGAACTGGCGGTGGTTAATCACGACCCTTGAGTGGACAACATGGCGGACCATGTTGGATTCTTGAGTGAACGTCTCTCCGCCATGTTGGATTTTTTGAGGGGGTTAGGGTTAGTAGTGTATTCTTACAAGTTAACATTGATTTCTCGTTAAATGCAATCATAACACCTTTATTTCACATCGTCAGACTTCACAAAGTGTGTTTACGGGGCGCAGGTCCACGTTCACTTTGAACAGGGTGACGTCATCAGTTGCAGTCCGTATCTATTTAGTATGTATCACTACGAAATTTTCGTAAACATTTTTACGAACAGGTTTTGGAGATCAGGCTGGAAGATTGGCTCCTTTCAGAGTTATAACATCACATATATTATTGAATGTCATTCGATCCCCCACACGGTATTTACACGTTTCTTCATTATTTTTTCATTATTTTCGTTATTCGATCCTTTGTTTCTTATTTATTTTAAGTCTTAATTTGCAAGTAAAAAGTGTAATATCAGAGTTGCACAACAGACAGACGACAAAGGGGCGGGGGGGGGGGGGGGGGATAGAATGCTACAGGAATGTGATTCATTTAGTGGTGAAACAATAGAAAGCGGCGATGTGCCACCAGATAACACCAAGTAGGATGTAATCATGTGTGCGACCCGGACCAAACATTCTTCTCCCAGCGGCTGTGATAACCACAACACAATGGGAACTCGGCCTGAGTCTCCAGGTTAAAGTGATTTTAACCCCGCGCCCACCTTTTCCTCGCACTGCGGGAACACCGACAGCCCCCCCCGAGGCCAAGAGTGTCCACGCTGCTCCCCAGAAGAGAGCAATCAGCGGAGTCCTGCCCGGATCAGCAGAACGCGGAGCTTTCTGCTTCACACGATGCTGATTGGGGTCTGAAAAGATTCCGCACGGGCCGCTGGGATTTACAGCTTCCCGCTGATGCGTGCAAATCACAAGGCTGTGTTCATCCACACACGTACCAAACGGGACATGATGCTAACGCTGTGTTCCCCCTACCGTTGAACAAGCGGGGGGGGGGCGGTACCATCAGGGGGGAAACTCCTCCGGTCCCATTGACGATGTCTATTGAAAATGACTCTCTTGATTTATTCCCAAGCTCTAGTTTCATGACGGTCCGTTTAACCGGAGCACGGTCTGCTTTAGGGTGGGGCGAGTGTGATTGACAGGCCTCCACCAATGCCGTCCACCGCGTCTCTCGCGTTTCTCCTCAGTAGTTGAACTACGGTCACTTTTGTTCCCTGGTTGCAGAACACCAAGATGGTGTCGTGCGTGAGGCAGAACTCCACTTCGGTCTATGGCATCACAGTAAAGCAACTCAACAGATCTGTGATCGCAAAGTCCTCTTGAAACAGATTCGCATCCTCAAACAAGAGACACGGAGAGACGATCCAACCCCGGGGGCATCGGGTGACAGCCGTCTGCGAACGCTGAGAGGCTCGATTCATGTGGCAGACAATCAAACAGCCGCCCGGCGGGGGGGCGGCCTGGGAAATATCAGCAACACGGCGCAGAACCTGGCGGAGAGCGGGAGGGCTTCCAGTGGAACGAGTGGCTGGAGGGAAAGTACTTACTCGCACAGCAGAACGCCGTTCTCCAGCGCGGATCGGAAGTCGTCGCTCCAGAATCTTTTCTTGGTTACTGCCTGCAACAAAAAAAAAAAAGGGATACAAAAACAGTGAGGGAATGAGCGCGAGGGGCTTGGTGAGGAGAGGAGGCGGGGGTTATAGTGGCTGTGTGTGTGTGTGTGTGTGTGTGTGTGTGTGTGTGGAGCTCGGAGAAGAAAGGTAGGATGTGGAGAACAGTAGCAGAGGAAATGAGAGGTATTTCCTTTAAGTTCCTACAGCTTCTGCGGGACAGAGTTGAGCGGCGTCCTCCAGGTGTCCCTGCGGACCCTCGGCCTGCCCCTCGCTCGGCTGCTAAAAGCCGCCGGTGGAGCGAGTGAACCGAGAGCTGCGGCGAAAGGACGACGCTGCCCGAAGACCACGCGGCTCCCGAGCATCTGGAGCGCTGCAGGAGCACAGCGGCGGGCTGGAGCCTCATGCCTTTCCCATGATCTCAAACCACCAGCGCGGGAACACCAAGAGTCATTACGCAGCCGCTGCGTGCGCGCACATGCACATGCACACACACACACACACACACACACAGTGGATACATTGAGACAAAACCTCTGGATTTTAAACACAACATATACAGTTATAGCCGTTGATTCATGCAGTCTGTGTTGTATAACTCACACTTCCTGTTTTTGTTGGAGTGTTTCCATCATCCGTGTCTTGACCAATCAGCATCTGAGCTGCTAAATCACACGCAAATCCCCAAACAGCCAGAGGGTGTACTTCAATTCTGCACAGCCGGCTGTATTTAATCCTCTGCGTTGTAGAGAATACAAAACAAAAACAATGCTCCTCAATGCTGTGCAATGTGTGGAAGACATTGAGACATCCTGCGTCTGGATCCGTCCCAAACACCAGTCTCTGGACTCAGCGGCCGGCTCTCACCACACGTTACACTGCAACCACTTTCTGAGATATTTATACGAAATGGTCCCAGTCAAACAAACAACACGAGGCTATCGGTGGATTGTGAAGAACCCTTCTGACCTCACGCGCCGAGCATGTGTTTGACTTTAAGTCTTTCACTTAGGGTACAGACAGGAAAGATGAGCGCACCTTAATTACTCTGCGAGTAGAGTCATAGAAGACAGCTGCACGAACACACACACACACACACACACACACACACACACGGCAAAACAAGTCAAATGATTCTGACAAACCAAATTGGTGGGATGTGCCTTTCCTTTTGAAGGGAAGGGACAAAGCAGCAGCAATTACAGGCACAGCTAAATACAGGCCACCATTTGTTAGAAGCTCGGCGTAACCGGAGTAGTACAAGCTCACTGGAGGACATTGTTATTATCATTTCATTTTTTGACACAACGTCCTGCTACACCTCTGACGACCCCCCCCTGGGTAACACGAGATGGCTTCAAATACCCTCCGTAGGGGATTAGACCACACTGTGGTAGATTCAAGTATTTCCACAACACGATGAAGCTGATGTTTGGAAATACTTGTTACCTGCTGCTGCTTCATTGACAAAAATAATGTCACAACCAGACGCTGGACACAGGGGACACAGACAGACGAGCAAAGCTGCAAACACACACACACACAGAAGCCAACGTCAGGTACAGGGCAGTTGGCATATAGAAACTTAACCCCCTCTGTTCTGTGCGTTCAGCTTCATAAAAACAGAAAACAACAACACAGGTGGAGACGGTGTCTCACCAAAACAGAGTGAATAGTCAAGATTTTATCTCCCGGCCCCCTTCTTTCATCTTCACTAGAGGCTCTCTCGGTCTCCGTCTCTCTCATCTCTGGTTTCCACGACAACAAAGCACGCAGGTCGGTTTCTATGTTCAGTGACGGCAAGAGGAGGATGAGCGCGCTGACCGCCGCAGCATCGCGTTACCTCTGATCGGCTGCCTTCAAAAATCACGGCGGACACCACAGGCCGTGTTATGGCGTGATCTTAAACCAGATGGGTGGCTGCCGTGGAGCCCAACAACCTGTTTTGGAGACCTATTCAAACTGTTTTGGGCGACACCTCCCTGGGTGGCTCCCTGAGAATGAAAACCTGCACAAAGGAAAAGCTGGCCCGGTGCGCCACATTCAGCAGCAGCTTCCGAAATATGAAACCGTAAAAAAAACGGATAAAACAGCGGTAACGACATGATTGAATTATCTGGCGTTATGACATTCTGCGCTTATGCATACGGGCCGACCATACGCATGACCTTCTGACCTGTAAGTTGCACAAACACGGCCACTTGGTCCTGCTCGTCAACACGTACGGCCTCTCCCGTTCAATTAACAAGGGGCTCTATTATCCTGCGCTAGGACGCGGCGCGGCCTCTGTTCAGCAGCTAATGCAGGAATGTGTCCATGTGACGGCCTCCAGACCATTTAGTCTAGTTCCCGCTCTCCTTTTTTTTTTATTTTATAACAATACCACCAACCTCGGCGTGCACGCATGCCTTTGTTTGAAGCGCCATGAAGCAAATTCAAACAAAAACGTTGTCGACTCGTCGAGCGTGCCAGAGCACTCGTGTTTCCAATACGCCACAAGCCCTCTCACACCTACACTCTTAATACACTCGGCCTGCACCTTTTACCTCTTCAACCTGCTTCCTGTGCAGCCCCCCCCCCCCTCACCCTCACTAATCCTCCTGCCCCCCTCCGGCCCGAGATCATGCCCCCACCGCGGCGCACGAGGTAAACTGCCACAATGGGCCAGTGTGCGAGTGTGAGAGACACTGATGTCACATCGGAGGAATTCACATTCACCCCCCCTCATGAAAATTAGAACAATATTTGTTTAGTTGCAGCCTCCCCGCTGGGGAGGGGATTTGCGAGACGAGGAAACATAATTTAACTCGCTTGTGAAAAAAAAAAGAAAAAAGGAGGAAGAAAGAAAAAGAGAGCAGGAATGAGAGTCTGGATGGAAGGATTGGATGATTTTGACATCAAATGGAAATTAAATGTGGCTTTAAAGTGGATGAGTGATTTTTTTATCTGGTTTGCATTTGGATTTCTGCAACAGGAAAGAGCCAAACTTGTTGAAACCTCTACTCTATGCATGACAGCTTCCACAGGAATGGTTAGAAACAGCGAGCCATAACGTGAGACTGCCTTTCCTCTGCTTCTGAACTATTGCAGCAATGAAATGGTTCTTACGCCACATGATGCATCAGGTGTCATAAAGCGTGGGACCCCTGCTGAGAGTTGATCAGTCCCGATAGGAGGCATCTGTTCACAGACCACCCATTTCGATTCGGTCACACCTGTTAGTTATTCCCAGAGCTGCCCCGGTGTTCGCTCACCTCAATCCATCTCTGCGCCTCCACGTAGGCTTCGTCGCAGGTGACGGCGGACTGCTCGCGCCACTCCATCACGGCCCGTCGGTGTCCGCGCGGGACCCGCCAAAGGCCCGCATATAAAGCACCGGGCGCATCCAAGGTGGGCCGGTCCCAACCAGCAGGTCTCCACGCACGCGCTTAGGGAAACAAAGGGCAAAACGCGTCGGCGAAACGCGTGAGCGAACTACTCACTGGTGAAAAATGCCTCCTATTGTTCCGCGTCGCCGCCTGAATGCGAGGCGGAGCGGCGTCACCTGGCGGCGGCGTCACCTGCTGCTCCCGCCCGGCGCACCTGGGGGGGGCGCGTTCTGTTCTCTGTTGCCGCCGCGCGTCACAGTCCGACTGCGCGCTCCAGACGGGAGGGATTCACTTCAGGTCTGAGCTTAAACCCGCGCGAAGGCTTGAGCGGGGGTGGGAAGGGGGGGTGGGGTTCAAAGTGGGGGTCCAGGGACCACCCACGGGTCCTTCCAGGTGAACGCACGCCTGCGTGGGCCCGTTGCCCCCCCGGGGGGGATTACTGTGCCAACCAGCCCCCCCGCAGCTCCTCGGTTTCGGCTGGAGAACAAGCGCTTCATCAGGCGTTAAAAAGTTGAGTCCTCCGATGAACTCGCTCTACTTTGAGGAGTTCTAATCGAATTATTCGCGCTCCTGCAGCGCCACCCGGCGGCGGGTCGAGCGATGCGGGGCCCCAAACAGAAGGGACCGTCTGCACCGTTACACCTTCATCGCTTGAATTTGAATCGAATTTGAATTTATTTTTTCGAACATGTATAAAAGGGAGAAAGAAATGTTACCACTTGTACACACAAAGAAAATACAAATTATTTAAAAAAAATAGAACAACAAAGAGCTAAGACAACAGAAAAAAGAGGAGTGGGAAGAAGCATAACTTAGTAATATCATTGTTAATGCAGCAACTTGTTTCAGTCAAATTAGGATGAATCGGCTGTTACAACATTTGTCTGGTTGAATTTAACCGGCATGTTTCAAACTTCTCAAAAGTCACGCCAGTGGTGTAAATATCTTACATGTGATCTATTGTCCCATTTCTCACTAAATTCCCATCGTTGAACCCTCAGTACACACGGGAGTCTTCATATTTTAAATATCTTCTCAGTATACCAAGCAGAGAACTCAAAGGGTCGTCGCCACTCTTTTCTTGCGTGTCCCTAACTAGCGAACTTTAACCCGGTGTCGGTCCCCTCATCGTTTTACCTCGTCAGATCACCTCAATAGAACATTAGCTTCTTTGTAATTCACAACAAAATACTCAATGTTGTATTTTACAGATGTGCAGTGTGCTTTCCGTTATTGTACTTTGCTTTCTATTCCAGATTTCTCTATTATTCCATGGAGATTCCTGATACGGCTGCTGACAGAACAACAGCAAAGTACAATTTATAGATTTCCAGAAGGATGAATTACTACAATGCTTGTGTTACAGAGAGGATCAACAAAGGAAATGTTTAATAAATTTGCCTTTTATTTCACATTCTTTTTAAGAAAATGTAGACACCTTCCAGGCGCCTGTACAGCCTGCGTCAGCTTTTGATCATATTTTTACTGCTTTACAACAGCAATAGGATGTGATTTTCAAAGCTATGACTACAATTAAAGCCTTGTTAAATACTTTTATCCAGCTGTTGTTGTTTTTTTTTTTTACAGGATTGGACATTTCAAAACAAAAGCACCAAGTGCAGTATGCATTGTTGAAGAAAGTTATATTTTTCAATTTCTTTCTTAATTGAAACCAAACACTCAAACAAGTGCCGCGTCAAGTTAGCACAGCCGATATCAGTTTACAGCTACAGAGGGTCCAGCAGAGGGGAGCTGCAAGAGTTTGATCTTTTACAGGAAATACTTTTAGCCCAAAGCAGCACTCCGATTCCCTTAGAATTTAGAGTGATTCATACCAAAAATGGAACAAAACTTCAGAATGATACCGCTGATATTTTACGATAGTCCCCACAGATATTTTGCGCAAAGAAAACAAAATAAATCCAACATATTCAGCACTTGAGAATGTTTGGCAGTCGAGTTGTCCTTTATTTTCCGAGGGACAGAGTTAATCTTTGGAGAGGGCAATGATGGTGAAACGCAGCTCTTGAGGGTCGCGAGCCATGAAGACCTTACAGACCTCTGCAGCGTCCTGCAGCGGGGCAATCAAACACATCACGACTAGCAACTCAGTTTGTAGAACACTTTGCCTGTTTTAGGGTGCAGTCTCACCTCCAGGAAACGATCTTCGGAGGTTTTTCCGTGAACAATAGGGAAAGGCTTCCGCCCATCTAGATTCATACAAATAAATTTAAAAAGCTTATTTAGGTCATTATCATCAACAATGAGACAAGAGCGGCTGCATATTTTTGATGGGACGGTGGTTGACTCACCCAGTTCATACAACTGTCCTCCCACATTCACAAAGGCTATAAAATGAAGGTTCACTTTCTCATCTAAACTCGGGGCCTAAAACAGATAAGATTTTAAGTAAAACGTTCCTAAAGGTGGTGTCGCGGTTTGAGGAAATCCTCCTTTTACTGGATCTCCATACAAACCTCAGTCTGCCCCTCCTGTGCACTGGATTCATGTGTAACACGTATGCTCTGAAACACAAAGTAGGAGGAAGAGGCGATGAGGGTAAGCAGAGGTTCTAGATAGTTGACTTCTTTTTTTAATAAATGGCATTGTTTCATACTCCTTTGACCAATCTTCTGCACAAGGCCAGTACTACTATCGCCTGACAGCTACAGAGCCGTTACGCTAAACTACCAATTAGTCAGCTGTCGCAGAGATAAAAGGTCAAGGGACAAAACAGTTTCTCATCTAAACCTTACTAACAGCTACACGACCCCTTCCGTCAACAAAGACCTTATTTTCAGGGTTTCCTTACCTCGTCTTTTTCCAGGAAGGCTGCCCTTTCCGCTGCGGTCATTTTGGACGTTTGTTCAATAAACTTCTTCAGTGGAGAGTCGGACTCTGAGGACAAAGGACCACAAAGATTATGAACACATTCATGTCTCTTTTGTACGTGTCATCTTTTGGAACTGCTTAAAATACACTCAGAAAGTAATACTATTAATCGGCCTGCTCCCTTAGAAATGCCACTGAACAATGTTCCAATGTTCCTTATGTTTTGTACTGAATTAAACAATGCCACAGCCCAGTTTGTCAAAACTAATTTGACTCTTTAAATTAAAATGAAACGTATAGAATGGGATTAATAGTGAATAGTGGATAGTTTGATCAACAACGTGTCTCTGATACAACCTAATCTGCTGCCGTACAACGGTCTTGCGTCGATGCTCTCAAATTGTGAGCTTGGGATTCTTTCCCCATCTCTACCATCGAATAGGAATTAAATACTCACCAAATTCCAAATGAGCTTGGTTGTTTGCCACTGCGTGAATTAATCCTATTGTTCCACAGGCGTTTCCAATGGTCTGCTTGATGAAGTAAACGTCAGGAGAGACCTCCTGTTGCTGACCCTTGAGCTTCTCCTCCTCTTCTTGCTTGAAAGCCTCATACTTCACAGGAGGACAGAAGACAAATAGCTGGTAAGTATTGTTTTTTTATACCATGGACAGGATCCTGTGCAACATGTATACAACCTGTTGAGTCCCAACATGCAGATCTCTATTACGGTCTGAACATTCAGCCAATATATTGGAAATCAGAGAGGAATAAAAGGCACCTTGTCCGTCACCGGGAAGAGAAGGAGCACTGCGCACACTGGTCTTGGGACCATGCCGAGAAGCTCTGGATCCAATCCGTAGACATCGCCAAATTGCCAGGTTGGTCTCATTCCCAAGCAGTTGACGAACTACACAGAAGCAGACGGTTTATTTGTACGCATGCAAAGGCGTGAAGGTAACCGAACAACATCGTAGCAAGGTAGACGACTTGAATGCAAAGTCAAGCTGTGTGACCGCTGGCTCTGGATGCAAATTATTCCTTTACTGTGCAACATATTAAAATGAGATAAATTAAACATGACAATTCAAGTCATTGTTATTACACTCAAAGGAATATCTCTACTCCTGTAAATGTTGCATTTCATACCATGTATAGGGAAATTAGGAATTTGCCAGAAAGACAGGTTTTTAAATCAAATCCCAAGCAATTATTGTTCAATAGCCTATAAATTTACTGGCAACCTAATTGTCATATGTACAATTAAACCGGATCAATATCCCTTTTTCATAATGAAATGAATATCCTTGAACAGTGTCTCCGTTTCTCCTCGATAGTTAATGATTTTACAAATATCAAACTACAACAATCCTGACGACCCACCCTCCACCCATTGTTACATGTGGTCAGCATTAGTGTGATTACTCCGATGCTACATTGAGGCCACGGGCCACAGGTCAGAGGTCACACTTGCAGTTGGATGATATGGAAAATGTCGCCGGACAGCTGCACGTAGTTGAATGATGGACGTTACGTTGGCTGTAACGTTAGCATCGATGCTGGGCAGGCCTTGTCCCCATGTCGCTGTTTATTAAGACCCAAATTACATCAGAAGAAAATTCTCACCTTGGTCATGACCTGAAATGAAACCACACAAATAAAATGATTAATAAAATGTGTTACGGATTCGTCAAAGCCGCCACACCGGCATTGAGCTTTTGTTCCAACGGCTAGCTAAATGTGAGCTAGCCCTCACATGCTTGTATATGAATGGCTTCGATAAAAACAACAAAGTTTGAAGAAGTATCGCCAACACGTACTTCTGGATTTGACTCTAGGGGCAACCAGCGCGGACTGTCCATTCTGAAGTCACGTCAACAACTACTTTCCTGCCAACGAAGAACTACACCGCTGAAACTGATTTGCCCGAATGTGTTTGACAGCTCACATTCACTTCCGCGTGAGGAGAGTCGCCCCTCGCATTTCTACAATATGCAGGGGTTCCTTCTCCTTCATAAACCTGAACTACAACACGCTTAATACTTTACGCCATACAGATACAAGGTACGTGCTCTATAAACATCCTTGTTTTCTCTTTTACTACCGTAGATACTTGTGTCATGGGTCTTTCTCTGCAATAAAAAAATATTTTAAAATGTGCCTCCCACACAACCCGAAAAGTGGATCATTCCAGAGTCGCAGGCATCTTTTAGACTTTGGAAAGACTTCATACGGGATTTAGTGGCCCCAGTCCCGTTCAGCTCTTCATAGAGCAACACCTCGCCCTAGCTATTAACAATGGTCGTGTTTCCAGTCTTATTTATTGATAATGTTTATTCGATAATGATGAGGAAAAATGAAGATAAAAAAAATCTTCCAACTGGGGATCCCGTTTAATTCCTCGTGGGGTTGTACTTATTACCGTTGCCGCTAAGAGGCGCTGTTATCCTGTATTCGCATGGTCGTCCATGACTGCTCTGAATAAAATAGCCTTCAGATTATTCAGTCAACATTCTTCATGTGTGGCCAACAACACCTTTAAATGGCTTTTGTAAGTATCCCCAGCAAACCTGAGCAGCTTTATACTTTTATAAGTTAATCTCACAAGCAAATACTGTGCTTTTTATTCCACTACATTGGTCTAACTATAGTTACTTTACATTACATGTCATTCAGCTGACACTTTTATTCAAAGCGACTTACAATACATGCATTTGAACCATGAGGATACAAACCGAGAAGAACAAGAAACAAGAAAGTGCAATTTCATCAAATACGCCGTTTACAACTTGCTATAGATACGAGCCATTATAAGTCCATTAAAGTTACAATACTACAATTTGTTTTGTATTTTTTAGTCAAGGTAGAATCTGAATAGGTGTGTCTTTAGTTTGCGGCTTCGTAAGCCTCAAAATAAGTATGTATTACTTAAAAGGCTGATTATATACTTCAGCTAAAAAGTCAAATTCTTAGGAGTATTTCTAATTACAGTTGTGGACTGACCTGAGAATCGGAAAGATAGAAAAATCGACTGGAGCCAGGTCAATAAAAATATACTCAATACTTCAATACACTTTCCACAAAATTACATTGCTAATAAAACTTCTAATACTTTAAGGCCTATTTTGTACTTAAAAATAAGGCTTTATTTACACCCAACTTAAATCCATAATATGTTATAAATATGTGATTAATTTTGAATTACTACTGTACATTCATAAAGTAACATATGTTTTATTTTTCTCTTATTTTGGCCAAGGTGTAATGTTTTGTGCAGCCCAAACCTCATAGCGGACGATGTGCCTCCCGGGCAGCAGGGGGCGCTGCGCACCGTCACACTGGTTGCGAAAAGAAAACAAACAGAAGAGGAGCACGACCGATTGTTTTGAGTGAGACGACCTTTCGCTGCACAGAAAGTCCCTCGGCGTTTTTAAGGGATACTGACATACGTTTATTATATATCGTTTTGTTTGACAGAAGTTGAAGTTGGCGCACGGCTCGGCGGTGTAACGTGGACTTGTCAGAGAAAGAAGATGCCTGCAGCAGAGGAATCCTATGGTGAGTTTCCATCTCCATCCTGTTACTCTACACAAGCCTTACAGTGCTTTCATCAGATTACAGTTTCACTACAGAGGAATATACGCTTCTTCCATACGTGGATTTAGCATCGTTAGTTTAACACGGTAGTTCGTAAACGTTTCCATGTATAACGAATCATAACGTTATCCCAAACCCAAACACGTCTTCTCCAGTACCGTACCCGCTATAACGTTACACAGGCATTTTACATTCATTATATTCTGGCTTTAACTCGTTTCACTAGTTGCGGATCAATAACTCATCCGCGTATTGGGCGGGCGGCCATCTTTGTTTTGATTCTCTGCGATCGGAACGGCAGCATTTGATGACGTCACCACTCGCCAATGAATTTAATTCATTTTGACTATCAAACCAGATGTTAACCAAGCTTTTGATTTTTTGAGTGAGATGTGTGTGCGTATACACTTTAGTCCAAAAACTGCAATGTTCCATTTAAAAATAAATGCAAAGTAAATAAATAAAGCAAAGTGTTTCTTAAAGAAACTCCACGATATTGTAACCATTATGTCCTGTGACAACTTTCTTGTAATTTAGAAGAATTTTATTTAAAAAATATTTGTGTTTATTCCTTTTTCAAATGCTGTGTTGCCTTATGAGCTGTAACTCGTTATCGTTTGGCGTCTTCGTTCATGTCCCATATTACGTTAACTGAGTACGAGACAATTATTTCTACGAGATGTTCTAGTCCAAAGAAGGCTGATATGGTCACACTGACATACTTGCATTAGTTTAGTCATGGAGGAATCATTTGCGTTTTTAGTTGCAATTATTATATATATATAACATCAGACTGAGAGCGTGACTTTCTTCATTTCTGTACTTCAGGTGTCAACAAAGTCGTGGACCACATCTGCCAGCTTCCTCCACATCTGTTGACAGAAGCAGTGAGTACATGCGATCGTTCTCTTTGTTCGTGTTGCATGCAGGCCCGAAAGGGGTTTGTTATTATTTATTAACCAAATAGTAAGAACCAGGCGTACAGCAAAGCATAAGAGGAGCACGAGTCACACGTTGTGTGGTTATTGTCGGTCCTGCCACAGATATAAATATCGTAATGGGCATAAATGTAGAGCAGCATCTCTCTCTGCGCTTCCTCTCGCCGTGTTTGCCACAGCTCGAAGTTGTGGCGGAGCAAACCTCTCAGTGGGATTCGACGAGTGGATGTTAAATACAATACAATGGTGCTCGTTGTCGGGCTATTAGCGACCGCGCTCTGCACGAGCTGCACAGGATGTGGCGTCGTCGCCACGGAGGCTTCGCTGCAGTTCCAATAACTAATCTTCTAATCTCCACAGTGTCAGCACATTCTGACTTATCTTCAAGGGCAAACCGGGGGAGTGGATTCAGCCGAAATCTCTGATGTGAGTCAATATTTCCCTAAATACTTTTTTAACTTCAAGTAACCCAGCTTCCCAAGTTCCTCTTTCATTACTTGTTTTGCTCTTTCTTTTTCTGGACAGAGATTTCGGAGAGCTGGAGTCCAACTTGAACATGAAGATCTGCAGAACATGGTCAGATTTCTCCTCTTAACGTTCAGGTATCTTTTGTCCTATTTTGGTTTCTTTCTAAATGTGTTTGTTTCAAAGGATAAAGCCGGTGAACGTGTCCTCCCACGTTTCCTTGTGTTATTGATGGAGGCACAATATGTGTGACATGTTTCATACGTTTGCATGTTGATTCCAACTCGTTACACACTTTATAAGAGCATTCTTAAAGCAGTGGTGGCTGGTGGAAAATGTTCTATGTAGTCCAATCCAATCAATTTCTGCAAACATCCCAGGATAATTTAATGCAAAACAATCAGTTAAATATTTAATATTTATTCCAACATGAAAACAAGCAGTAAATAACACTTTTAAATGTTTGTCACCCTCACAGGTAATTCGATATAATGTATACATATATCAAATAATAACGTAATAACATAATAATAGTAATAATCGTCTAGTCTGCTTGAATGGCGATAAATAGTTTGTGACACTTTTTTATCGCCTTCTGCGGGCAAACCTGAGATTTCTCCTCGCGCAGCTGAACGCACGTGGAGACGGGACATCGGTAAGACAGGCAGGGACGTGCAGGAAAAGCATGCATTTTGCGCAGATATCATATTTTATAAATATTACTCGGTACATTCCATCTTTCAAAAACATAAATATTTGCCCTGTATTGCTTGAGCAGCTTTTATCCGAGGTAATGTGCCTGGAAAATGGCTAATCACCACATAAAGGTGCACTTAATTACAGTGTAAGGAGACACTTGTGTTATCAGGTCCGCGGGGAAGAGCGGCCTCTCTGGAGATGACCTCGTGTCCAGGCTGGAAGAAGCAGGCAACAAGTGGCCAAAGGCTTCCCTGCAGGTGGTGCACACGCTGTGGAGTGAACGTGGCGCACTGGTCCACGCCCAGCAGGAGGTCCAGGCGTTGCTCAGCATTGGCCAGGTGTGCCCCACGTTTCATTCTCATGTATTTCTTAAAAACCTGCACACACACACACACACACCGCAAGTCTCTCGTCCACGCTGATGTCGGCTTTATCTTGCCAGCTGGTGGACATGCAGTGGAAGCTCGGCGTGGCCGTGAGCTCCGACACCTGCCGGTCGCTCAACTCGCCGTACGTGTCTCTGCTGCTGAAGATCGTCCAGCCCCCTGGACAGATTTGTCACAGATCTTTTGAGATGACCGTTCCACAGTTCCAGGTCGGTGGTTGTTGATGTGAACGTAATGTCCTTGGTGCAATCTACAATCCGTTGATTTTATGGGTTTTTTGTCCCCTTGCAGAACTTTCACAAGCAGCTCAAGGAGATGGCTGCTGTAATGGAGACCGTGTGATGGGGAAAATCCCCCCCAGTGTACACGTGACCATCAGAAGAACAGCGTGCGTCTGTTAGTTGTCCCTGAATGTGGAAACAAATGACGGCACGCGTCCATTATCTGCCTAACACATCTGTTTTCCCACAGATTGTATCATCATGTCTAAATAATTTACTTTTTAGGACATCTGTTCCAATAGTTAAATGATTTTCTCTTCTTGACTTTTAATGCTAACATTAAGTATTAACTTATCCAGGTAGCATGCAAACAATGAACCCCTCCTAAAGTTACTACAAGGAACTCTCATTTTGTGTGGCGTGAGAACAAAAGCAGACAGCCGGAGCAACAGAACTCTATTCTGGGATTATTTAACGACGCTGACGTTCTCAAGCACATTTAAAACTCCCGTCCATCAAACACCGGTCTGCAGGAAGGAGCAGCGTTTCCTCGCTGGACCACGGAGGCGGTCTGGAGGCCGGTGTGCACTTGACAAAGTGGTGTTTTGATTTGTTCCTCTAGCGGTACAACAGCATGCCAGTATATTGCAGCACAATCAGCACACACCATTTCCTCTAAAGTAGTTTGAACCAAACCTGTCACAACTTGCCGCAGGGAACGTGAGAGTTTCTTTCTATGGCGATGGATTTGGGATTATCCCACTTTATTGCATCCTTTATACGAGATGATGTTTAGAAATCCAGATTCAGCGTGCAGTGAAACGCTCCATCGACTGCCAACCTTTTCTGAATAATTTAGTTAATGTTTAATATATGAAAGCTTTCCTTAACAGTTTGTGTTTCTCCTCCTTGCTGTGCTGAAGTTGCCACTGTGTGGTTCTGGGGAGGCCGAGGCCTTTTTATCACTGGGCTCCGTCCTCACTTTGTGCCGTACGACTATGACGCAATAAACTATGACTAATTGTAACGGTTGCAGTGCATGTTTATTTCATCGCGACACTCACAGCTCATCGCAAAGTAGAACAATTACACGCTAAAGCAACTAACTGTGGATTACTACCACTGTTTACCAACCGTATCCGGGGCAGACACAGGGGAATAATTGGGTACCTTTAAAGTCTAATGGTGTCTGAATGCGTTCTGGCGAAGAGGCCCTTTAATGTTCTAGTTTCCAACTGTTTACATTCGCATTTTGATTTTCAGAGAATAAATCAAAGTTCTCCAATAACAGAAGTCCAGCTGCGTGATAGAAGTCTACAGGTAAGACGTGTGAACACGCGCTCCTCCCAGTATACTGGGGGTCAGCAGAGGTCTTCGATGAGGTTAAATGTGGCACAGGTGCTATTTTGGGGGATAGGAGGACTTCTCAGAATTAGATGGGAACCCCGCTGCTGCACAAAGTGCATCAGATGTTATTACAGCTTCCCGAGACTATGAATAAGCTCAGACTGCCATTAAACACGCAGTTGTGAACTCTCGCATGTTGTGCTGCCAAGCGTTCGCGCCACGAGGGGCCGCCGACAGGCTCCACACCGCCGGGGAAGAGGCTCTGCGCGCCGCGGAGGAGAAGGTGGAGCCTCCCCCCCCCCCGCATCTGGGAGAGTATGGGGAAAAACAACGAGGGAAATACACTTTACCCTCTACAGAAATAGTGGAGGAATTCAAACTATAGGAAGTGAGCATTCGCCAATGAGCAGACTGGGCTGGATTGTTTCTCCCTCTCAAAACGCCCAGACAATATTGTAATGTGACCTAATTCTAATGCAGGATAACAGTTAAACTACCAACTGACCTTGTGACTCTTTGTCTTGTAGCTCTGGTTTTGCTGAAGCATCAACCAGAAGAGAAAATCCTGTTGGTGAGAGGAGGTTTGTTGGCGGAGCGCCATGTACCAAGCTTACAGCAATGGCTCTGCCAGCTGTGTCGTACCGTCCTCTCTTAGAGCTTCAAACAGGATAAAAGGAAATGTGATATCGATAAAGACATAAAGACCCACTACCACATCACATCATGGCTTTCATTGTGTTGTGAGAGTTCTCCTGTTAATTATTTACAGGCCACCTAAATATTCTGCACATTTTTTCGATGATTTTACTGAATTATTGTCTAGCATCTCTACCGACTTTGACTGTCTAGTTATAACTGGTGACTTTAATTTTCATACTGACGACTTGGAGTGACCAGGGGTGCCAAAGAACTTTGACTATTTTTAGACACATTTGAACTGTCTCCACATGTGAAAGAAGCTAACTCGTTGTAAGGTACCTCCCCTGGACCTGATTATTACAAAAGGTCTCATTGTCTTCGGATGTTTTGTGACTGACTCCCCATTGCCCGACCCTTCTGTGTTTTCTTTAAATTTCCTGCTTT